CTCCTGCTCCACCTCCTGCTCCACCTCCTGCTCCGCCTCCTGCTCCGCCTCCTGCTCTGCCTCCTGCTCTGCCTCCTCCCGCTGTCTGAAAGAGAAAACGGTTTAACAATTGTTTCTTGTACTTTTTATCTTGGATCTTCTTGATCGGTGCAGACGTTTGTATTGTTTGGTTTGACTGCAAATGGCAAAAAACTGAATTTGTCTGTTTCTCTCTCTTTGTGTTTCTCTCTCTCTGTTTCTCTTTCTCTGTGTTTCTCTCTCTGTTTCTCTCTTTGTGTGTCTCTCTCTCTCTGTTTCTCTCTTTGTGTGTCTCTCTCTGTGTGTCTCTCTCTGTGTCTCTCTCTGTCTCTCTCTCTGTGTGTCTCTCTCTTTGTGTGTCTCTCTCTGTGTGTCTCTCTCTTTGTGTGTCTCTCTCTGTGTGTCTCTCTCTGTGTCTCTCTCTGTCTCTCTCTCTGTGTGTCTCTCTCTTTGTGTGTCTCTCTCTGTGTGTCTCTCTGTCTCTCTCTCTGTGTGTCTCTCTGTCTCTCTCTCTGTGTGTCTCTCTCTCTGTCTCTCTCTCTGTGTGTCTCTCTGTCTCTCTCTCTGTTTCTCTTTCTCTGTGTGTCTCTCTCTCTGTTTCTCTCTCTCTGTGTGTCTCTCTCTCTGTTTCTCTCTCTCTGTGTGTCTCTCTCTGTGTGTCTCTCTCTCTGTGTCTCTCTCTGTCTCTCTCTCTGTCTCTCTCTCTGTGTCTCTCTCTGTCTCTCTCTCTGTGTGTCTCTCTCTGTGTCTCTCTCTCTGTGTCTCTCTCTGTCTCTCTCTCTGTTTCTCTCTCTCTGTGTGTCTCTCTCTGTGTGTCTCTCTGTCTCTCTCTCTGTGTGTCTCTGTCTCTCTCTGTGTGTCTCTCTCTCTCTGTGTGTCTCTCTGTCTCTCTCTCTGTGTGTCTCTCTGTCTCTCTCTCTGTCTCTCTCTGTGTGTCTCTCTGTCTCTCTCTGTGTGTCTCTCTGTCTCTCTCTCTGTGTGTCTCTCTCTCTCTGTGTGTCTCTCTCTGTGTGTCTCTCTGTCTCTCTCTGTGTGTCTCTCTGTCTCTCTCTCTGTGTGTCTCTCTCTGTCTCTCTCTCTCTGTGTGTCTCTCTCTGTCTCTCTCTCTCTCTGTGTCTCTCTCTGTCTCTCTCTCTCTGTGTCTCTCTCTCTGTGTGTCTCTCTCTGTCTCTCTCTGTCTCTCTCTCTCTGTGTCTCTCTCTCTGTCTCTCTCTCTCTCTGTGTGTGTCTCTCTCTCTGTTGGAGTCTGTTTCTTTTATTGACTTTAATTGATTGACAAAACCTATAATCGAGGCGCCGTGAAGGCAGCGTCAGTACCGCGCATGCTCAGTCTGGGAGAGGGCGTGATTTTTCCCTTCGCACTTCTGCCTGCTGTGATTAGCTGATTAGCAAAACCTTCACTGGAGCCTTAACAGAATGCACTAGTTCTGATCCACAGCTGACTGTGTAATACCGACTCAAGACAAAGCAGGTTAAAATAAGTGTGTTGGGGAAAAAACTCGTCTATGGTCGGTGACCAGTGTTAGCTGTTAGCTCCGTGCTAAAGCTAACGAGAATAAAACACTGTACAAATGTCAGTGAAGGAGGAGGAGGACGTGAGGAGGTCTGCAGAGGAGGAGCAGAGGAACCCGGAGCTGATGGAGGCTGTGAGGGTGAAGCAGGAGCCAGAGGAGGCCCCTGGAGACCCGTATGTACCACACTGATCAGTTCATTTGCTCGGGGTTGGATTGGTTGACAGAGAACAGCATAGACCGTAGATCAGGATGTAAACACAGTGAATGAGTCTGGTCCTAATGGCTCCACACGCCTTCAAAGAGATAACAGGGAAATGCCAGTGTTGTAGCGCACAGACAGGGCAGTTGTAAGAGTATGGATATTTCATAATACTAATGTGGGCTAAACCTCAGCGTGTCTAATAACGTTCTGCAGGAGCTGGTGGAAAAACCAGACATCACATGAGTGTTTTGGTTTAGTGAAGGTCGGAGCTACTGACACAGCTACAGACCCCAGCTACAGACCCCAGCTACAGACACAGCTACAGACCCCAGCTACAGACCCCAGCTACAGACCCCAGCTACAGACCCCAGCTACAGACCCCAGCTACAGACCCCAGCTACAGACCCCAGCTACAGACACAGCTACAGACCCCAGCTACAGACCCCAGCTACAGACCCCAGCTACAGACCCCAGCTACAGACCCCAGCTACAGACCCCAGCTACAGACCCCAGCTACAGACACAGCTACAGACCCCAGCTACAGACACAGCTACAGACCCCAGCTACAGACACAGCTACAGACACAGCTACAGACCCCAGCTACAGACACAGCTACAGACACAGCTACAGACACAGCTACAGACACAGCTACAGACCCCAGCTACAGACACAGCTACAGACCCCAGCTACAGACACAGCTGCAGACCCCAGCTACAGACCCCAGCTACAGACCCCAGCTACAGACCCCAGCTACAGACCCCAGCTACAGACCCCAGCTACAGACACAGCTACAGACCCCCCCAGCTACAGACCCCAGCTACAGACACAGCTACAGACACAGCTGCAGACCCCAGCTGCAGACCCCAGCTGCAGACACAGCTACAGACACAGCTACAGACCCAGCTACAGACCCCAGCTACAGACCCCAGCTACAGACCCCAGCTGCAGACCCCAGCTACAGACACAGCTACAGACACAGCTACAGACACAGCTACAGACCCCAGCTACAGACACAGCTACAGACCCCAGCTACAGACACAGCTGCAGACCCCAGCTACAGACACAGCTGCAGACCCCAGCTGCAGACCCCAGCTACAGACCCAGCTACAGACCCCAGCTACAGACCCCAGCTACAGACCCCAGCTACAGACCCCAGCTGCAGACCCCAGCTACAGACCCCAGCTACAGACCCCAGCTACAGACACAGCTACAGACCCCAGCTACAGACCCCAGCTACAGACCCCAGCTACAGACACAGCTACAGACCCCAGCTACAGACACAGCTACAGACACAGCTACAGACCCCAGCTACAGACCCCAGCTACAGACACAGCTACAGACACAGCTACAGACACAGCTACAGACCCCAGCTACAGACACAGCTACAGACACAGCTACAGACCCCAGCTACAGACCCCAGCTGCAGACCCCAGCTACAGACCCCAGCTACAGACACAGCTACAGACCCCAGCTACAGACCCCCCCAGCTACAGACCCCAGCTACAGACACAGCTACAGACCCCAGCTACAGACCCCAGCTACAGACCCCAGCTACAGACACAGCTACAGACCCCAGCTACAGACCCCAGCTACAGACCCCAGCTACAGACCCAGCTACAGACCCCAGCTACAGACCCAGCTACAGACCCCAGCTACAGACCCAGCTACAGACCCCAGCTACAGACCCCCCCAGCTACAGACCCCAGCTACAGACCCCAGCTACAGACCCCAGCTACAGACACAGCTACAGACCCCAGCTACAGACCCAAGCTACAGACCCCAGCTACAGACACAGCTACAGACCCCAGCTACAGACACAGCTACAGACCCCAGCTACAGACACAGCTACAGACCCCAGCTACAGACGCAGCTACAGACCCCAGCTACAGACCCCAGCTACAGACCCCAGCTACAGACACAGCTACAGACCCCGCTACAGACCCCAGCTACAGACGCAGCTGCAGACCCCAGCTACAGACACAGCTACAGACCCCAGCTACAGACACAGCTACAGACACAGCTACAGACCCCAGCTACAGACACAGCTACAGACACAGCTACAGACACAGCTACAGACACAGCTACAGACACAGCTACAGACACAGCTACAGACCCCAGCTACAGACACAGCTGCAGACCCCAGCTACAGACCCCAGCTACAGACCCCAGCTACAGACCCCAGCTACAGACCCCAGCTACAGACCCCCCCAGCTACAGACCCCAGCTACAGACACAGCTACAGACACAGCTGCAGACCCCAGCTGCAGACCCCAGCTGCAGACACAGCTACAGACACAGCTACAGACCCAGCTACAGACCCCAGCTACAGACCCCAGCTGCAGACCCCAGCTACAGACACAGCTACAGACACAGCTACAGACACAGCTACAGACCCCAGCTACAGACACAGCTACAGACCCCAGCTACAGACACAGCTGCAGACCCCAGCTACAGACACAGCTGCAGACCCCAGCTGCAGACCCCAGCTACAGACCCAGCTACAGACCCCAGCTACAGACCCCAGCTACAGACCCCAGCTACAGACCCCAGCTGCAGACCCCAGCTACAGACCCCAGCTACAGACCCCAGCTACAGACACAGCTACAGACCCCAGCTACAGACCCCAGCTACAGACCCCAGCTACAGACACAGCTACAGACCCCAGCTACAGACACAGCTACAGACACAGCTACAGACACAGCTACAGACCCCAGCTACAGACCCCAGCTACAGACACAGCTACAGACACAGCTACAGACACAGCTACAGACCCCAGCTACAGACCCCAGCTACAGACCCCAGCTACAGACACAGCTACAGACCCCAGCTACAGACCCCTACAGCTACAGACCCCAGCTACAGACACAGCTACAGACCCCAGCTACAGACCCCATCTACAGACACAGCTACAGACACAGCTACCAGACCCCAGCTACAGACCCCAGCTACAGACACAGCTACAGACACAGCTACAGACCCCAGCTACAGACCCCAGCTACAGACACAGCTACAGACACAGCTACAGACCCCAGCTACAGACCCCATCTACAGACACAGCTACAGACCCCAGCTACAGACCCCAGCTACAGACCCAGCTACAGACCCCAGCTACAGACCCCAGCTACAGACCCCAGCTACAGACCCCAGCTGCAGACCCCAGCTACAGACCCCAGCTACAGACCCCAGCTACAGACACAGCTACAGACACAGCTACAGACCCCAGCTACAGACCCCAGCTACAGACCCCAGCTACAGACCCCATCTACAGACACAGCTACAGACCCCAGCTACAGACCCCAGCTACAGACACAGCTACAGACCCAGCTACAGACACAGCTACAGACCCCAGTTACAGACCCCCAGCTACAGACCCAAGCTACAGACCCCAGCTACAGACCCAAGCTACAGACCCCAGCTACAGACCCAGCTACAGACCCCAGCTACAGACCCCAGCTACAGACCCCAGCTACAGACACAGCTACAGACCCCAGCTGCAGACCCCAGTTACAGACCCCAGCTACAGACCCCAGCTACAGACCCCAGCTACAGACCCCAGCTACAGACCCCAGCTACAGACCCCAGCTACAGACCCCAGCTACAGACACAGCTACAGACCCCAGCTACAGACACAGCTACAGACCCCAGCTACAGACCCCAGCTACAGACCCCAGCTACAGACACAGCTGCAGACCCCAGCTACAGACCCCAGCTACAGACACAGCTACAGACCCCAGCTACAGACACAGCTACAGACCCCAGCTACAGACCCCAGCTACAGACCCCAGCTACAGACCACAGCTACAGACCCCAGCTACAGACCCCAGCTACAGACCCCAGCTACACCCAGCTACTGACCCCAGCTACAGACCCCAGCTACAGACACAGCTACAGACCCCAGCTACAGACCCCAGCTACAGACCCCAGCTACAGACCACAGCTACAGACCCCCCCAGCTACAGACCCCAGCTACAGACCCCAGCTGCAGACCCCAGCTACAGACCCCAGCTACAGACCCCAGCTACAGACCCCAGCTACAGACCCCAGCTACAGACACAGCTACAGACACAGCTACAGACCCCAGCTACAGACACAGCTACAGACACAGCTGCAGACCCCATCTACAGACCCCAGCTACAGACCCCAGCTACAGACCCCAGCTGCAGACACAGCTACAGACCCCAGCTACAGACCCCAGCTACAGACACAGCTACAGACCCCAGCTACAGACCCCAGCTACAGACCCCAGCTACAGACACAGCTACAGACCCCAGCTGCAGACCCCAGCTACAGACCCAGCTACAGACCCCAGCTACAGACACAGCTACAGACACAGCTGCAGACCCCAGCTACAGACCCCAGCTACAGACCCCAGCTACAGACCCCAGCTACAGACCCCAGCTACAGACCCCATCTACAGACCCCAGCTACAGACCCAAGCTACAGACCCCAGCTACAGACCCCAGCTACAGACACAGCTGCAGACCCCAGCTACAGACCCCAGCTACAGACCCCAGCTACAGACCCCAGCTACAGACACAGCTACAGACCCCAGCTACAGACCCCAGCTACAGACCCCAGCTACAGACCCCAGCTACAGACCCCAGCTACAGACCCCAGCTACAGACCCCAGCTACAGACCCCAGCTACAGACCCAAGCTACAGACACAGCTGCAGACCCCAGCTACAGACCCCATCTACAGACCCCAGCTACAGACCCAAGCTACAGACCCCAGCTACAGACCCCAGCTACAGACCCCAGCTACAGACCCAAGCTACAGACACAGCTGCAGACCCCAGCTACAGACCCCAGCTACAGACCCCAGCTACAGACCCCAGCTACAGACACAGCTACAGACCCCAGCTACAGACCCCAGCTACAGACACAGCTACAGACCCCAGCTACAGACCCCAGCTACAGACCCCAGCTACAGACACAGCTACAGACGCAGCTACAGACCCCAGCTACAGACCCCAGCTACAGACCCCAGCTACAGACCCCAGCTACAGACCCCAGCTACAGACACAGCTACAGACCCCAGCTACAGACCCCAGCTACAGACCCCAGCTACAGACCCCAGCTACAGACCCCAGCTACAGACCCCAGCTACAGACACAGCTACAGACCCCAGCTACAGACCCCAACTACAGACGCAGCTACAGACCCCAGCTACAGACCCCAGCTACAGACCCCAGCTACAGACCCCAGCTACAGACACAGCTACAGACACAGCTACAGACCCCAGCTACAGACCCCAGCTACAGACCCCAGCTACAGACCCCAGCTACAGACCCCAGCTACAGACCCCAGCTACAGACCCCAGCTACAGACACAGCTACAGACCCCAGCTACAGACCCCAGCTACAGACACAGCTACAGACCCCAGCTACAGACACAGCTACAGACACAGCTACAGACCCCAGCTACAGACCCCAGCTACAGACACAGCTACAGACCCCAGCTACAGACCCAAGCTACAGACCCAAGCTACAGACACAGCTGCAGACCCCAGCTACAGACGCAGCTGCAGAATGGAGCGTGTCCTTCAGGCTTTCAAATAAACAAAACAAAACAGCAGCTTGTATTCGATACAAGTTTCTGCGATGCTTCTAAACTGTCTGTAAATGCTTCACATGTACAGACTCAGCAGTCCTCATTGTACAGTCTGACAGCTTATTACAGAACACTGACGTGACAGATCCATGACGGAGACATGTGCTCCGCTCTCACTCTATCTCCTGTAAATGTTCTGCCAGAGCTGGTCATGAACAAACCATGTGTTGGTTTCTCATGTGTCGTGTACACAGTCAGAGTGAGACCAGAGTGAGACCAGAGTGAGACCAGAGTGAGACCAGAGTGAGACCAGAGTGAGACCAGAGTGAGACCAGAGTGAGACCAGAGTGAGACCAGAGTGAGACCAGAGTGAGACCAGAGTGAGACCAGAGTGAGACCAGAGTGAGACCAGAGTGAGACCAGAGTGAGACCAGAGTGAGACCAGAGTGAGACCAGAGTGAGACCAGAGTGAGACCAGAGTGAGACCAGAGTGAGACCTCCTGCTCGGTAGCAGCAGGTCTCACTCTGGTGAAAATAAAATAAAATGTTTTTAACCTGGATTTGAACATTGTCAGAGACGAAGTCTGTCTCACATTTTCAGGAAGATGTTCCAGATTTTTGCGCGAATCTGAAATGCTGCCTCCTCATGTTTAGTCCTGACTCCGGGACCAGCAGGAGGCCAGTCCCTGTGCTCCTCAGAGTCCCAGCAGGAGGCCAGTCCCTGTGCTCCTCAGAGTCCCATCAGGAGGCCAGTCCCTGTGCTCCTCAGAGTCCCAGCAGGAGGCCAGTCCCTGTGCTCCTCAGAGTCCCAGCAGGAGTCCAGTCCCTGTGCTCCTCAGAGTCCCAGCAGGAGGCCAGTCCCTGTGCTCCTCAGAGTCCCAGCAGGAGGCCAGTCCCTGTGCTGATATGAGCCATATAAGGATTGCCCAATCAGGATTCTTTATTCAGGGGAAAGTCCAGTTTGCCTTAGCAACCGTCATAGCAACACTTCTGTTATGACGCTAGCGCCTTCAGAACAAATGTCCATATAAGGAAACTGGCTCCAGCTAACACTGTGGTGATGTCACACTGTGGTGATGTCACACTGTGGTGATGTCACACTGTGGTGATGTCACACTGTGGTGATGTCACACTGTGGTGATGTCACACTCATTTACTCATCATCCACGTCCTGTTCTTTAATTGTTGTTTATTTTCCTGTGGCACAAACATAATCTGACGTTTGAAACCTTTCAGGGGCGTCCCGGAGTACATCACTGTGTGTGTGAAGACAGAAGAAGAACCGTACGAGTCTGAGGAGGAAGAGGAAGAGGAGGAAGAGGAAGTGGAGGGAGAGGAGGAGGAGGAGGAGCTCAGCCCAGAGCCACGTCCAGAGACCGACCCAGAGACAGAGCACTCCTCAGACTCGGAGCAGGACTGGACCGGGCCCCGCGGCTTCTCAGATCCCAGCTCTGGTCTGTGGGCACCATCTGCAGAGACGGCTGTGGACCATGAAGGAGCAGCCACAGGAGCAGCTGCAGGAGCAGGGAGGATGCACCAGTGCCCCTTCTGTAATAAGACACTCAGAGGAACCAAGAACAACCTACGACGACACATCAAAATCCACACGGGAGAAGGACCTTACAGCTGCTCCACCTGCAGCAAGACCTTCCCCAACAAGAGTGCTCTCAATACACACATCAAAATACACACAGGGGAGAAACCCTACAGCTGTTCACTCTGCAACAAAACCTTCTCACAGAGGGGAACGCTGAATGCACATGTTAAAACGCACACAGGGGAGAAACCTTTCTTCTGCTCCATCTGTAACAAGTCCTTTTCCCAGAGGAGTAACCTGGTGGTGCACAGTAAGAAGCATTCAGGAGAGAGACCTCACTCCTGCTCCTGCTGCAGCAAGAGCTTCTTCTCTAAGTCAGATATGCAGTCGCACATGAGGACGCACACTGGTGAGAGACCTTACAGCTGTCCAGTCTGTGACAGAACATTTTCCCATAAAAGGAATCTAGTCGCACACGGTAAGATGCACACAGGGGAGAGACCTTACAGCTGCTCTGTGTGTCATAAGGCGTTTGAGACAAAGCCTGATCTTTGTTCCCACGTGATCTCGCACACAGAAGAGACGCACAACAGACGCTCTCCTCAGCTGCAGACTGTGAACGCTCAGGTGAAAGCAGAACCTTGCAGCTGTTCAGCTCAAGAGGCTGAAGTGAAGAGAGACGCAGATGAGAAGCTGCTCAGCTGTTCCTACTGCGACAAGACGTTCTGCTTCAAGTCAGACCTGACGACGCACGAGCGGACGCACACCGGTGAGAGACCTTTCAGCTGCTCCACCTGCCACAAGACTTTTACGCAGAAGTGCAACCTGGTCACCCACAGCGTCATCCACACAGGAGCCAGACCCTTCAGCTGCTCCATCTGTGACAAGACCTTCATAAACAAGAGCAACCTGATCGCACACAACAAGACGCACACGGGGGAGAAACCTTACAGCTGTCCCTTCTGCAGCAAAGCCTTCTACACCACCACAGACCTGCGCACGCACACACGCACACACACCGGGGAGCGACCTTACAGCTGCTCCATCTGCAATAAGGCCTTCTCTCTGCTCAGCACGCTCAACAGGCACCGCAGACTGCACACAGGAGAGAAACCCTTCAGCTGTTCCCTCTGTCAGAGGTCGTTCACGTACCTCATCGAGCTGAAGCGACACATGAGCAAACACACGGCAGAGGAGCGCGCTGCCGCGGCGTCCAACCAGCAACCGCCGCCACAGGACTGAAGGACCAGCAAGAGCCCCCAGTGTGCAGCAGAGCAGTACATAAGAACCTTTATCTGCAAGAGTCAGAAAAACACTTTAATGAAACTGTTCGAAGCTGAGATGGACTTTTATAAAGTGCCACGTCCTGTTTTAACACGTTCAGTAAAACTGAACATTTTTGCCAAATCTGAGTCAGTATCAGCTGCAGTCGCCAAGAATGGACTCATTTAAAGCTGGGGTACTGAACTTTCAACACACACACACACTGTGTCTTGCCTAAGGACAGCCTGCGGGGGGCGCCAAAGATAATACAATAATCTCTAAACAGTTCCTGTCTCTGTTTTCACATTTATTTCTGTCCCATCTTTAGCTCTCAGCCCAAAGAGTCCAACAGTGACTCTCGGGGCTCTCAGAAGACTCCGAAGCAGACGCCATGATCTGACTCAAACACTGTTATATTTAAGGAGAAAAGTCAGGTATCCCAGCTTTTATATTAAGATGTCAAGGAGCCCATTTGTGCCAGTCCTGTTCTGAGTCTGTGACATCACCGCAGTGTGACATCACCGCAGTGTGACATCACCGCAGTGTGACATCACCGCAGTGTGACATCACCGCAGTGTGACATCATTGCAGTGTGACATCATTGCAGTGTGACATCACCGCAGTGTGACATCATTGCAGTGTGACATCACCACAGTGTGACATCACCGCAGTGTGACATCACCGCAGTGTTAGCCTTGATGCAGAAGGAGCCGATATGAACATATCTGCAATTCCTTAATTGGGCATTTGTTCAGACAGCGTTAGTGATGGCAATGAAGGCGTCTGATTGGTCAGTCCTTATATGGTCATATCTGAACATCACATAAAGCATCACAGAGCATAAACCACAGAGAGAGGAGCCAAACTTCACCCTGAGCACTTCCCCATTAGCTTAATTGAGCTAGCAGGTTTGCATTGTGCATCTGTATTCAGCCTACAGCAGGGGTCCCCAACTGGGGGTTCAAGGCCTGGACCTCGAGAGCATTTTCTCTGGACCTCTGTGATTATTTTGTTTAAAAATACTTAATTACAAGTTTATTTAACATTTTCACCAAAAATGATTTTGGGAAGTGCCAAAAAAAGCACATAAATCGAGCCAGGAAAGCCACCGTAGCCATGACAACGGTTAGTATTGATGCTAACTCTAATGGTAACAGTTTCCATGGTAACAGATATTTGTCACATACAATGTAAACAACACGATCAATAACGTGTAGTGAAATTACTAGTTGTCCTAGTGATGGTTTCCATGGAAACTGTTGCTATGGCCATAGTCACCTTGGTCACAATTGCTATGGCTATAGTAACCATGACAACTAGTTGGTGCTTTGACAATCCCTGTGACAACTGTTACCATGAAAACCAATGCTATAGCAATAGTAACCATAGTAACTGTTGCTATGACAATAATCACTTTAACTGTTTTTCTGGCAGCTCTCACTATGGCAACTGTTGCCATAACAACGGCCAGGCAAACTTCTTTTTTGGGAGTTTGCCATAGTAGTGATGGTTTCCAGGGTCGTTGCCATAGGGATTGCCACAGCAACGGTTGCAATGGCAATGGTCCCATTACAAACGTTGCTATGGCAATCAATATGGCAACTGTCACCTTGGAAACCCTCACTATGGGAACTATCACCATCATCCAACTGTTGCCATGACAACGCACAGACAACCTGGTTCATTTCTTGCAACTTATTCTTTGGGATTTGTTTCTGATCCTGTTTCTCGTGCGTTTGTGACGAAGGAAACATGACCCGGGTCTGCTGAGCTGGTCCACGTAGCTGGGACTGGTTTATGGTCATCACCTTTAGTACCATGTGTTTGATAGCTCAATCAATTATCATTATTATTATTATTATTATTATTATTACACAATACACAATACAATTTATTCTTGTATAGCCCTAGGTCACAACAGAAGTCATCTCAGAGGACTTAACAAAACCATTGAAATCACCAACACAGGTCAGAGAATCAACAGTTAAAACACATGAAGAATATAAAGCACACACAGAAGAAAATGTCCATACATGTTGTAGAATGCTAAAGTGTCCTGATCATCACCAATCCTTTCTGTTGGACACTAACTGTCCAACAAGACCCTCCTGCATCGACAAGGAACAACTCTTAAAAAACCCAGTGGGAAAAAGTGAGAAACCTTGGAGGAGAACTAGGGAAACCCACAGGGAGGGAGACCCATATGAGAAAGGGATCCGCTCCTCCGGACGGACAGACTAATGATCCAGGACCTAAGCTAGCTACAGAACGTGGACCAGTGGACGCTGAACGTGGACAGGTCCGGTGCAGGACTGAAGCACTCCCAGGCGGGTCGGGCGGGGCAGTCCGCAGGTGTAGATGGAAGAGGCCAGGCTCAGAGATCCCGTCATCGTACCATGAAACAGACAATGGGACAACGGGTGAATAGCAATGAACAAACTACAGTCAGAATCCTAAAAATGCTAAACAGATAAAGTAGGAAGGAGGAGAGGATAGTGCTCAAGTTACCATACTTCTCCAGCAGGGGGCTCCCTATGCAGCTTGACTGACAGTCTGAGGAGTTTAACCTTCTCCGAGTCTTACCTTCCTAGCCATATGCTAAACTAAAGAGGACTGTTTTAAACCTAGCCTTGAATAAAGAATAACATACAGCATAATATATAACATAATATACAACATAACACAATACATTATTGAATAATATATAACATAATACAGCATATATATATAATATATACACTACATATTATATATTACCTAATTATATGCTAAATTAAAGTAAAGTGCTTTTATTATTATTATTATTATTATTATTATTATTATTAATAATAATAATAATAATATAAATTATTCAAAATAAAATAAAAAAATCCACAGTGTGTCGTCTGTTGTTGTGACTCAATTCAATTCTATGTAGTTTTGTATCCAGGACTGAGGCTGTAGATCCAGGACTGAGGCTGTAGACCCAGGACTGAGGCTGTAGACCCAGGACTCAGACTCTAGACCCAGGACTGAGGCTGCAGACCCAGGACTGAGGCTGTAGACCCAGGACTGAGGCTGTAGACCCAGGACTGAGGCTATAGACCCAGGACTGAGGCTGTAGACCCAGGACTGAGGCTGTAGACCCAGGACTGAGGCTGTAGACCCAGGACTGAGGCTGTAGACCCAGGACTGAGGCTGTAGACCCAGGACTGAGGCTGTAGATCCAGGACTGAGGCTGTAGACCCAGGACTGAGGCTGTAGACCCAGGACTGAGGCTGTAGACCCAGGACTGAGGCTGTAGACCCAGGACTGAGGCTGTAGATCCAGGACTGAGGCTGTAGACCCAGGACTCAGACTCTAGACCCAGGACTGAGGCTGTAGACCCAGGACTGAGGCTGTAGACCCAGGACTGAGGCTGTAGACCCAGGACTGAGGCTGTAGACCCAGGACTGAGGCTGTAGACCCAGGACTGAGGCTGTAGACCCAGGACTGAGGCTGTAGATCCAGGACTGAGGCTGTAGACCCAGGACTGAGGCTGTAGACCCAGGACTCAGACTCTAGACCCAGGACTGAGGCTGTAGACCCAGGACTGAGGCTGTAGACCCAGGACTGAGGCTGTAGACCCAGGACTGAGGCTGTAGACCCAGGACTGAGGCTGTAGACCCAGGACTGAGGCTGTAGACCCAGGACTGAGGCTGTAGACCCAGGACTGAGGCTGTAGACCCAGGACTGAGGCTGTAGACGCAGGACTGAGGCTGTAGACCCAGGACTGAGGCTGCAGACCCAGACCCAGGACTGAGGCTGTAGACCCAGGACTGAGGCTGTAGACCCAGGACTGAGGCCGCAGACCCAGGACTGAGGCCGCAGACCCAGGACTGAGGCCGCAGACCCAGGACTGAGGCCGTAGACCCAGGACTGAGGCCGTAGACCCAGGACTGAGGCTGTAGACCCAGGAAAGCTCCAGACTTTGCATGTTCTCCCTGTGTCTGCGTAGGGTTCCTCCAGGTGCTCCGGTTTCCCCTACCTCTAAAAACCCATGCAATAGTTCTGAGGGGAGGCAGTGTCGCCCCCGTGTGGACAGACAGGGAACGACCACTGTTTGGGATTTGAAACAAATGTGTTTCAATAAAGATGTAAAAAGTTTATTAGAGTTTTTATTCACATTTATTTTTATCTTTGGACAGAATCTTCCACAAATGAGGCGTAAATGTAGTCGCGGGAGTGTGTGTGAGCAGCAGGTGGCGCCAGAGAGCTGCATGTAACATCTGTGTTTATCATTATGAACTAGTCACACACACCCAGACACACACACAGACACACTCAGACACACACACAGACACACAAAGACAGATACACACATACACACGCACTTTAGACCTGCTTTAGTCCTGCTTTAGACCTGCTTTAGTCCTGCTTTAGACCTGCTTTAGACCTGCTTTAGTCCTGCTTTAGACCTGCTTTAGTCCTGCTTTAGACCTGCTTTAGACCTGCTTTAGACCTGCTTTAGACCTGCTTTAGTCCTGCTTTAGACCTGCTTTAGTCCTGCTTTAGACCTGCTTTAGTCCTGCTTTAGTCCTGCTTTAGTCCTGCTTTAGACCTGCTTTAGACCTGCTTTAGTCCTGCTTTAGTCCTGCTTTAGTCCTGCTTTAGACCTGCTTTAGTCCTGCTTTAGTCCTGCTTTAGACCTGCTTTAGTCCTGCTTTAGACCTGCTTTAGACCTGCTTTAGTCCTGCTTTAGACCTGCTTTAGACCTGCTTTAGTCCTGCTTTAGTCCTGCTTTAGACCTGCTTTAGTACTGCTTTAGTCCTGCTTTAGTCCTGCTTTAGACCTGCTTTAGTCCTGCTTTAGACCTGCTTTAGACCTGCTTTAGTCCTGCTTTAGACCTGCTTTAGTCCTGCTTTAGACCTGCTTTAGTCCTGCTTTAGACCTGCTTTAGTCCTGCTTTAGACCTGCTTTAGTCCTGCTTTAGTCCTGCTTTAGACCTGCTTTAGTCCTGCTTTAGTCCTGCTTTAGACCTGCTTTAGTTCTGCTTTAGACCTGCTTTAGTCCTGCTTTAGACCTGCTTTAGACCTGCTTTAGACCTGCTTTAGTCCTGCTTTAGACCTGCTTTAGTCCTGCTTTAGTCCTGCTTTAGACCTGCTTTAGACCTGCTTTAGTCCTGCTTTAGACCTGCTTTAGTTCTGCTTTAGACCTGCTTTAGACCTGCTTTAGTCCTGCTTTAGTCCTGCTTTAGACCTGCTTTAGACCTGCTTTAGACCTGCTTTAGTCCTGCTTTAGACCTGCTTTAGTCCTGCTTTAGACCTGCTTTAGACCTGCTTTAGACCTGCTTTAGACCTGCTTTAGACCCTAACCCTAACCTTTGCCCTCTGAGGTTTCCGGACTCTTCCTGGACTCAGAGGACCACGTGGTTTTATCACGGACTGTTTACAACAAAGTCATCAATCAGCACCGACAGCAGGAGATCAAAGGTTCGGTCGGTTAATCAAAGGAATTAATCGAATAATCGTCTGAAATACTCGTTAGCAGCAGCTCGAGTCTCAAAGAACTAGCAACAAGACTTCATCACGAACTTCTTTATTCTGTGCTTTGAAATTTCGGTCCCTCAGCTTTAAAGGGGGAGGAGGACGATAGCAAAGTGAACGTGCGGGGGGGGGGGGGGGGGGGGGGGGTTGGTCTCCATGGTGCCACGTTCCAGAGCGCAGGGGGGCGGGGCCTTCTTCTCTGCTCTCCTCCAATCAGATGAATAAGCCCCGCTCCTCTCCGCCTCCCATTGGCTCCAGAAACTCCCGATCTCGGCCCTGATTGGCCCGCGCTGGTGCCAGGCGAAAGTGGACGTGTCCCATCCGGAGAGCGAGGAGTTTTTACGGAGCGCGAGGGAAGCGGAGGCTCTTTCTCTGTGACAAAACATCCGCTCATCGTCAACATCATCATCATCTTCATCAGCAGCAGCAGCAAAATGGCCCCGAAGAAGAGCGCGAAGGCGAAGGGCAAAGGTGCGTGCGTCATGTCCGTGTCTGTTTATCCCAGTTATGGCTCTGTTCTACCCGTATCCACCCGCGTCATCCCGAGTCCACCCGCGCCCATGCGTGCACAGCCTCGGAGCGCGCAAACACCGTCTTAAATCTCACATGCGTCAGAATACACTGTCCGCGTCTCTAGGCATTCTCCAACAGGGACGGATCCACGGATTTAGTCCTGCTCTAGTCCTGGTCCGTCCTGCTCTAGTCCTGCTCTAGTCCTGGTCCTGCTTTAGTCCCGCTCTAGTCCTGGTCCTGCTTTAGTCCCGCTCTAGTCCTGGTCCTGCTTTAGTCCTGCTCTAGTCCTGGTCCTGCTTTAGTCCTGCTCTAGTCCTGGTCCTGCTCTAGTCCTGGTCCTGCTTTAGTCCCGCTCTAGTCCTGGTCCTGCTCTAGTCCTGCTCTAGTCCTGGTCCTGCTTTAGTCCCGCTCTAGTCCTGGTCCTGCTTTAGTCCTGCTCTAGTCCTGGTCCTGCTTTAGTCCTGCTCTAGTCCTGCTTTAGTCCTGCTCTAGTCCTGGTCCTAGCTTAGTCCTGCTCTAGTCCTGCTTTAGTCCTGCTCTAGTCCTGGTCCTGCTTAGACCTGCGTCCTGCTTTAGTCCTGCTCTAGTCCTGATCCTGCTTTTGTCCTGTTTTAGTCCTGCTTTAGTCCTCTTTAGCCATGTTTAGCCCTGTTTAGCCCTGGTTAGCCCTGACTCTGGCAGAGCGTGTTGTTGCTATAGCAGTGAGCCGCTGTCGATGTGGGATTATAGAAAATGCTCAGTGCGCATGCGCGAACTCGGAGCAGGAGTCGAGGCCTTGAGCACGGAACGCCTCTGCTCACGTGTCACTGAGGGTCCGGGGTCGGGTCCCGGGACGTGGCCCTGTCTTTGTGGAAACTAATAATAAATAAAACATTCAACGGAGGTTAACGCCGTGTTTGGACGTGTCCCATTACATAATTATGCTTTAGACCTGCTTTAGACCTGCTTTAGACCTGCTTTAGTCCTGCTTTAGACCTGCTTTAGACCTGCTTTAGACCTGCTTTAGACCTGCTTTAGTCCTGCTTTAGACCTGCTTTAGACCTGCTTTAGTCCTGCTTTAGACCTGCTTTAGACCTGCTTTAGACCTGCTTTAGTCCTGCTTTAGACCTGCTTTAGACCTGCTTTAGACCTGCTTTAGTCCTGCTTTAGACCTGCTTTAGACCTGCTTTAGTCCTGCTTTAGACCTGCTTTAGACCTGCTTTAGACCTGCTTTAGACCTGCTTTAGTCCTGCTTTAGACCTGCTTTAGACCTGCTTTAGACCTGCTTTAGTCCTGCTTTAGACCTGCTTTAGACCTGCTTTAGTCCTGCTTTAGACCTGCTTTAGACCTGCTTTAGACCTGCTTTAGTCCTGCTTTAGACCTGCTTTAGACCTGCTTTAGACCTGCTTTAGACCTGCTTTAGTCCTGCTTTAGACCTGCTTTAGACCTGCTTTAGACCTGCTTTAGTCCTGCTTTAGACCTGCTTTAGACCTGCTTTAGACCTGCTTTAGTCCTGCTTTAGTCCTGCTTTAGACCTGCTTTAGACCTGCTTTAGACCTGCTTTAGACCTGCTTTAGACCTGCTTTAGTCCTGCTTTAGACCTGCTTTAGACCTGCTTTAGACCTGCTTTAGTCCTGCTTTAGACCTGCTTTAGTCCTGCTTTAGACCTGCTTTAGACCTGCTTTAGACCTGCTTTAGTCCTGCTTTAGACCTGCTTTAGTCCTGCTTTAGACCTGCTTTAGTCCTGCTTTAGACCTGCTTTAGACCTGCTTTAGACCTGCTTTAGACCTGCTTTAGTCCTGCTTTAGTCCTGCTTTAGACCTGCTTTAGACCTGCTTTAGACCTGCTTTAGTCCTGCTTTAGTCCTGCTTTAGACCTGCTTTAGACCTGCTTTAGACCTGCTTTAGTCCTGCTTTAGACCTGCTTTAGACCTGCTTTAGACCTGCTTTAGACCTGCTTTAGTCCTGCTTTAGACCTGCTTTAGTCCTGCTTTAGACTTGCTTTAGACCTGCTTTAGTCCTGCTTTAGACCTGCTTTAGTCCTGCTTTAGACCTGCTTTAGACCTGCTTTAGACCTGCTTTAGACCTGCTTTAGACCTGCTTTAGTCCTGCTTTAGACCTGCTTTAGTCCTGCTTTAGACCTGCTTTAGTCCTGCTTTAGACCTGCTTTAGACCTGCTTTAGACCTGCTTTAGACCTGCAGTAGACCTGCTTTAGTCCTGCTTTAGACCTGCTTTAGACCTGCTTTAGACCTGCTTTAGTCCTGCTTTAGACTTGCTTTAGACCTGCTTTAGTCCTGCTTTAGTCCTGCTTTAGTCCTGCTTTAGACCTGCTTTAGTCCTGCTTTAGACCTGCTTTAGACCTGCTTTAGACCTGCTTTAGTCCTGCTTTAGTCCTGCTTTAGTCCTGCTTTAGACCTGCTTTAGACCTGCTTTAGACCTGCTTTAGACCTGCTTTAGTCCTGCTTTAGACCTGCTTTAGACCCGCTTTAGACCCGCTTTAGACCCGCTTTAGACCCGCTTTAGACCCGCTTTAGACCCGCTTTAGTCCTGCTTTAGACCTGCTTTAGTCCTGCTTTAGACCTGCTTTAGACCTGCTTTAGACCTGCTTTAGTCCTGCTTTAGACCTGCTTTAGACCTGCTTTAGACCTGCTTTAGACCTGCTTTAGTCCTGCTTTAGTCCTGCTTTAGACCTGCTTTAGACCTGCTTTAGTCCTGCTTTAGACCTGCTTTAGACCTGCTTTAGACCTGCTTTAGACCTGCTTTAGTCCTGCTTTAGACCTGCTTTAGACCTGCTTTAGTCCTGCTTTAGACCTGCTTTAGTCCTGCTTTAGACCTGCTTTAGACCTGCTTTAGACCTGCTTTAGACCTGCTTTAGTCCTGCTTTAGACCTGCTTTAGTCCTGCTTTAGTCCTGCTTTAGACCTGCTTTAGACCTGCTTTAGTCCTGCTTTAGACCTGCTTTAGACCTGCTTTAGACCTGCTTTAGACCTGCTTTAGTCCTGCTTTAGACCTGCTTTAGACCTGCTTTAGACCTGCTTTAGACCTGCTTTAGACCTCCTCCAGACCTCTCTAATGGCGCCTGTTTTGCTCATAATCACTTCTGACATTTGTTTTGCAGTGTGCGTAGCCGCGGCGCGCTTGTTAGCTAACTGCTGTAATTAAGGCTGGTGTAGCCGGGGGGCGCCGGCGAGCGTCCGCAAATGTCACCGCGGAAACCAGCGATTGATGAAGCAATAAACCATAACCACGTAATCACTTTGATCAGACACAGACCACAGAGAGGTCTGAGGCTTCTGTCTAATACTGACCAGAGAGAGAGACCAGAGAGAGACCAGAGAGAGACCAGAGAGAGACCAGAGAGAGAGACCTGAGAGAGAGCAGAGAGAAACCAGAGAGAGAGACCAGAGAGAGACCAGAGAGAGACCAGAGAGAGACCAGAGAGAGACCAGAGAGAGACCAGAGAGAGAGACCAGAGAGAGAGACCAGAGAGAGACCAGAGAGAGACCAGAGAGAGACCAGAGAGAGACCAGAGAGAGACCAGAGAGAGACCAGAGAGAGACCAGAGAGACCAGAGAGAGAGACCAGAGAGAGAGACCAGAGAGAGACCAGAGAGAGAGACCAGAGAGAGACCAGAGAGAGACCAGAGAGAGAGACCAGAGAGACCAGAGAGAGAGACCAGAGAGAGACCAGAGAGAGAGACCAGAGAGACCAGAGAGAGACCAGAGAGAGAGAGAGACCAGAGAGAGAGACCAGAGAGAGAGACTAGAGAGAGACCAGGGAGAGACCAGAGAGAGACCAGGGAGGGACCAGAGGGAGACCAGAGAGAGACCAGAGAGGGACCAGAAAGAGATCAGCGAGAGACCAGAGAGAGACCAGGGAGGGACCAGAGAGAGACCAGGGAGGGACCAGAGGGAGACCAGAGAGAGACCAGAGAGAGATCAGAGAGAGACCAGAGGGAGACCAGAGGGAGACCAGAGAGAGACCAGAGAGAGAGACCAGAGAGAGACCAGAAAGAGACCAGAGAGGGACCAGAGAGACCAGAGAGAGACCAGAGAGAGACCAGAGAGAGAGACCAGATAGAGAGAGCAGAAAGAGAGCAGAGCTAAACATTGATTCATGCTTAAGAAGAGGATCCAGCACGAGCTCCAGTGGAGGATCAGGAGGGCCAAGAAGGACTATGGGAAAAAGCTGGAGCAGAAGCTGGCCCAGGGAAACGCCCGCGACGTGTGGAGAGGCCTAAAGAACATCTCCGGCTTTGGACAGAGTGCCAGAGGAACGGCGGATGAATTTAACCAATACTTCAACCAGTTTGATTCTCCCCCCTCTTCATCTGCCCCCCTCCCGCCCCCACCTCTTCACACGTCCCCAGCCCAGTGGACACTGTCCAGTGGACACTGCCTCCGGCTGCCCCGGGCCCTCCTGCCCCCGCATCCCCAGCCCCCACCTCGGACAGTACACCCCGGTCCCCCCCCCCTCTCCATCACACCGGACCAGGTGAGGAGTCAGCTCCAGCGCCTGAAGCTGAGGAAATCCTCAGGACCGGACGGGATCAGTCCCAGGCTGCTGAGGACCTGTGCAGACCAGCTCTCTGGGGTCCTCAGCTACATGTACAACCTGAGCCTCAGCCTGGAGAAGGTCCCTGTCCTGTGGAAGACCTCCTGTGTGATCCCGGTCCCAAAAACAGCGCACGCCAAGGAACTGGCTCACTACAGACCAGTCGCACTGACCTCCCACCTGATGAAGACCATGGACCCTCACCCATCTCCGCTCCGTGGTCAGCCCCACCCTGGACCCAACATCGGAGTAGAGGACGCCGTCATCTACTTCCTGCAGCGGACGCTCTCCCACCTGGAGCCCGCCGGGAGCGCTGTGAGGGTCATGTTTTTCGACTTCTCCAGCGCTTTCAACACCATCAGACCGGCACTGCTGCGGGGGAAGATGGAGGACGCGGGAGTGGACAGTAGCCTCACTGCATGGACCATCAACTACCTCACTGCATGGACCATCAACTACCTCTCAGACTGACCACAGTACGTGCGGCTGCAGCTGTGAGTCTGAGGTGGTCGTCTGCAGCACTGGGGCCCCTCAGGGCACTGTCCTCTCACCGTTTCTCTTCACCATCTACACCTCAGACTTCACACACGACACACACAGCTGTCACCTGCAGAAGTTCTCCGACGACTCCGCCATCGTGGGCTGTGTGTCTGAGGGGAACGAACTGGAATATCGGTCGGTTATCAAGGACTTTGTCGACTGGTGTGAGCGCAACCACTTGTGCTTGAACACCAGTAAGACCAAGGAGATGATCATCGACTTCAGGAGAAAACCACTTTCCCACACGCTGCTGAACATCCAGGAGGAGGACATTGAGCTGGTGGACAGCTTCAAGTACCTGGGTGTTCACATTAACAATAAACTGGACTGGTCCATAATACAAACGCCCTGCACAAGAAGGGCCAAAGTCGCCTCTTCCTTCTAAGGAGGCTGAGGTCCTTCTGAGGAGGCTGAGGTCCTTCTGAGGAGGCTGAGGTCCTTCGGAGTGAGCAGGCCTCTGCTCAGGACTTTATGACTCTGTGGTATCTTCTGCCATTTACTACGCTGCCGTGTGCTGGGCCCCGGGCAGCACAGAGCGGGACAGAAACAGACTGAACAAGCTGGTCAGGAGGGCCAGCTCCACTCTGGGCTGCTCCCTGGACTCTGTGCAGGAGGTGAGGGACAGGAGGCCCCTGGACTCTGTGGAGGAGGTGAGGGACAGGAGGCCCCTGGACTCTGTGGAGGAGGTGAGGGACAGGAGGCCCCTGGACTCTGTGGAGGAGGTGAGGGACAGGAGGCCCCTGGACTCTGTGGAGGAGGTGAGGGACAGGAGGCCCCTGGACTCTGTGGAGGAGGTGAGGGACAGGAGGCCCCTGGACTCTGTGGAGGAGGTGAGGGACAGGAGGCCCCTGGACTCTGTGGAGGAGGTGAGGGACAGGAGGTGCTAGCCAAAGCCACCTCCATCATGAACAACACCTCCCACTGCACAGGACTGTAGAGGAGCTGAGGAGCTCCTTCAGTGGAAGACTGAGGCACCCTCAGTGTAGGAAGGAGCGCTACCGCAGGGCCTTTATCCCCACCGCTGTCAGACTGTACAATAAGTCGTTTTAAATGATCACTGTGTGAAAACCTATTAACCTAATAACTATTGACACTGTTTCCAATTGACACTTGTCACTTTTGTTGTACATATTTATTGTCACTTTATTGTACATAATTATCCTGCATGTAACATGTTTGTACATTTCCTCCTTTTGCACAATCTGAGTGTCCCTATCCATGCCAAATGTGACATGTACATTTCTCCTCTGTGAGATAAATAAAGCACATCTTATCTTATCTTATCTTATACTTGGTAATATTCTCATATTCCCAGATAAACGTCAGGACGTTCTGACACAATCAGAGCCGACGCAAAAGTCACGGCTTCAGAATCAGATTAAAACTGACGAACGAGAAACAAACAAGATTATGACAGATTAATGAGAGACAGGTGTGACGAGTGAGAGCGGACACAGGGCCCTGAGTTCTGAGGGTCTGAGGTCTGAATCTTTATGTATTTATATATATATATAACAAGAAAAGCTTGAAAAATACCAAGGTCTCAGAGAGGAGCTGGAGAGGGCCTGGAGGGTAAAGGTCACAGTAGTGCCCGTGGTGATCGGTGCACTCGGGGCAGTGACCCCGAAGCTAGAAGAGGTTACAGCGGATCCCCGGAACAACCTCGGACATCTCGGTCCAGAAATGTGCAGTGCTAGGAACAGCAAAGATACTGCGCAGAACCCTCAAGCTCCCAGGCCTCTGGTAGAGGACCCAAGCTTAGAGAGGGATAACCGCCCGCGGAGGGCCAATGGTGAGTGGACAATTTTTTTTTTACACACACACATATATACATATACATATATATATATATATATATATGTATACATATATATATATATATACATATATACATACACATATATATATACATATATATATACATATACATATATATATACATATACATATATATACACATATATATATATATATATATATATATATATATATATTACACACACACACACATACATATATACATACATGCATACATATATGTATATACAGTGTCTGGATGAACTGCAGATAACTACAGCTGAGGTGGGGATGGTGTGTTCAGGGTGATGAGCTGTGTTGCTTTTACGCCAAACATATCGTTTTGCATTGTGGCCAAAAAGTTCGATTTTGGTTTCATCTGACCAGAGCACCTTCTTCCACATGTTTGGTGTGTCTCCCAGGTGGCTTGTGGCAAACTTAAGACAAGACTTTTTATGGATATCTTTGAGAAATGGCTTTCTTCTTGCCACTCTTCCATAAAGGCCAGATTTGTGCAGTGCACGACTGATTGTTGTCCTATGGACAGACTCTCCCACCTCAGCTGTAGTTATCTGCAGTTCATCCAGAGTGATCATGGGCCTCTTGGCTGCATCTCTGATCAGTCTTCTCCTTGTTTGATGAAAGTTTGGAGGGACGGCCGGGTCTTGGTAGATTTGCAGTGGTCTGATACTCCTTCCATTTCAATATAATTGCTTGCACAGTGCTCCTTGAGATGTTTAAAGCTTGGGAAATCTTTTTGTATCCAAATCCGGCTTTAAACTTCTCCACAACAGTATCTCGGACCTGCCTGGTGTGTTCCTTTGTCTTCATGGTTCTCTCTGCGCTTTAAACAGAACCCTGAGACTATCAAAGAGCAGGTGCATTTATACGGAGACTTGATTACACACAGGTGCATTCTATTTATCATCATCAGTCATTTAGGACAACATTGGATCATTCAAAGATCCTCACTGAACTTCTGGACTGAGTTTGCTGCACTGAAAGTAAAGGGGCCGAATAATATTGCACGCCCCACTTTTCAGTTTTTATTTGTTAAAAAAGTTTAAATTATCCAATAAATTTCGTTCCACTTCACGATTGTGTCCCACTTGTTGTTGATTCATGACAAATAATAAAAATTGTATATCTTGATGTTTGAAGCCTGAAATGTGGCAAAATGTTGAAAGGTTCAAGGGGGCCGAATACTTTCGCAAGGCACTGTATGTATGTGTAAATATATACATGTGTGTTTGTTTGTATATGAATATAAATGTAACACATACATGGTAGCACATGTGTCTGACCTGTTTGATGGAGGAGCGAGTCTTCTCCTTCCACGGCGTCGCACTCAGCTCCACGGTGCAGTGGACAAACGTCTCGCGGTCGTAGGAGCCGAGGATGAAGAGTCTGGATGAAAAATGATGAGTACTGTTACTATTATAACCAACCAAAGTTTGGCACTTTACAGCCGCCCAGAGGCACCTGGTGTTCCCAGGGTCTCCCATCACAGTACTAACCAGGTCCTGGCTTTCACCTGCAGGTAGCATCACAGCTACTGCTGCTACACTACTTTTGAGTAGTAATCCTTTAACGACATTTATAGTTTTATTCTGGTCTCATTTTCTCCTGATGGAAGTCTGCAGAGTAACACTGTATTGTGCTGACCTCTGGTGGACAATCACTGAACTGTTCTATCTCTGGTCTAAGATAAGAATTCCTTTATTCGTCCCACAGTGGGGACATTTCGATGTTGCAGCGCACAGACAGGACAGTAGTAGCTATGTTTGTTAGCTAACATAACTAGCTGTAGATGCTGAAAATGCTTCAATACCAATATCCAGAGAGAGAGAGAGACCAGAGAGAGAGATCAGAGAGAGAGATCAGAGAGAGACACCAGAGAGAGACCAGAGAGAGACCAGAGAGAGAGACCAGAGAGAGAGACCAGAGAGAGAGACCAGAGAGAGAGACCAGAGAGAGACCAGAGAGAGAGACCAGAGAGAGAGACCAGAGAGAGAGACCAGAGAGAGAGACCAGAAAGAGACCAGAGAAAGACTAGAGAGAGAGACCAGAGAGAGACCAGAGAGAGACCAGAACGAGAGACCAGAGAGAGAGACCAGAGAGAGAGACCAGAGAAAGACTAGAGAGAGAGACCAGAGAGAGACCAGAGAGAGAAACCAGACAGGGACCAGAGAGGTAAACCAGAGAGACACCAGAGAGACCAGAAAGAAAGATCAGAGACTAGAGAGTAGGGTTTCTCACCGGCTGCACTCCACCAGAGAGAGACGCAGTCGACCTTCCACCAGACGAGTGTCCGACAGGGACAGGTCCAGGTCACAGCTCAGAGGAGACACCAGCTGGAACGGGAAGAACGGCTTGTACCTGAAGACCAGAGGGACCAGAGAGGACGTCAACCAGAGAGAGAGACCAGAGAGACCAGAGAGGACGTCAACCAGAGAGAGAGACCAGAGGGACCAGAGAGGACGTCAACCAGAGAGAGAGACCAGAGAGACCAGAGAGGACGTCAACCAGAGAGAGAGACCAGAGGGACCAGAGAGGATGTCAACCAGAGAAAGAGACCAGAGGACTTTCATAATGTGTATCTACTTGTGTTGGACCAGATCATGTGTTTGTAAGATAAACTTTATTGATCTCACAAACAGAAAGGTGGCTTCAAAAACAAACAACAGGAAATGTTAGAAAAGTTAAAGATACAGAGCTTTATGGGCAATACATGTTTTTATCAACAACCCAGTCTTAGCGTACGTCAGTGAATTATTGTACAGTCTGACAGCGGTGTGAACGAAGGCCCTGCTCTACAGTCTAACTGGTGTCCTCAGCTGGTACAACCTTCTTGGTCTTACTGGTGTTCTAGCACACCTGGTTGCGCTCACACAAGTCAAAGTAACTGACCGGTACTCAGGTGTCCTCAGACCAGGGATCTATAAAAATAACTGGATAGGGTATCACTAGCTCATAGCTGTCCCACCCATGGCCAGAGGGGGCGCCCACGGTACAGCAAACTAAATTCACAAGGGCTACCCAGAAAATGTTCCATAGATCTAACTGTAAATTAAAACAGCTCGACCTCAGCAGACAGAGAACCTGACAGAGAACCTACAGCTTTCATAAAGGTCGGATTTTGTGGGGATTTTAGTGTCTCTTGTAATCCTGAATTTTTTTCTTCTTAAATCCTTCAGTTTTCTTTAAATCCACACTTTAATTCAACAAAATCTACCAATCTACCACTGCTGTGATCAGCAGCTCTGATTGGTCAGAGCGCGGCCGAGCCCTTCTGTGCACAAGAGCCACACATGCGTGTTTGGAAGTTTCAAATATGTCCAGAGACCAGGACCTGGAGAGGACCAAGACCAGGACCTGGAGAGGACCGAGACCAGGACCAGGAGAGGAGAGAGACCAGGACCTGGAGAGGACCAAGACCAGGACCTGGAGAGGACCAAGACCAGGACCTGGAGAGGACAGAGACCAGGACCTGGAGAGGACAGAGACCAGGACCTGGAGAGGACAGAGACCAGGACCTGGAGAGGAAAGAGACTAGGGACGTGGAGAGGACAGAGACCAGGACCGGGAAAGGACCAAGACCAGGACCTAGATAAGGACAGGACCAGGACCAGGACCTGGAGAAGACTGGCAACAGGAGAAGACCGGGAACAGGACCTGGTTTGGACCTTATGATGTTGTTGGCCCACATTAGTGTTTCTGCAAGACCTCATTAGCTCACGTTAGCCCTTGTTAGCCTCTGTTGGCCCCTGTTTTCCTCCGTTAGTCCTCGTTTGCCTCCGTTAGCCCCCATTAGCCTCCATTAGCCTCCGTTAGCTTCCGTTAGCCTCTGTTAGCCTCCGTTAGCCCGCAATGATCTCCTCTCGAGCCATCTGTGCCCCTGGCTTTAATCCTCTGTTACATCACAGGATCAGCTCCATAATCACCAAACACAGACTGAGAACGAAAGGGTCCAGAGAGACCAGAGACCAGAGAGAGACCAGAGAGAGAACAGAGAAAGACCAGTTCAAGGGCAGACAGAGACCAGAGGCTGGAATCCAGTTGTGTTTCTGACAATATGATTTGAACAAAAATAGTTATTATTTACAACAATCTTTAAGGCCAAACCCCTAACCCTAAACATAACGTCACAAGGTAACGATCTTAAAACAGAAGCTTTAGCCAGAAGGGTTAGGGGGATGTTCATGTTATTTTAATGAGGAACGTTTAGAAAAACACACAGACCAAAGAGAAAGCAGAGAGACAGACCAGAGTGAGACCCCTAAGAGAGCAGAGACCAGAGAGAGACCAGAGAGAGACCAGAGTGAGAGCCTGAGAGAGCAGAGACCAGAGAGAGACCAGAGAGAGACCAGAGAGAGACCAGAGAGAGACCAGAGAGAGACCAGAGAGACCAGAGAGAGACCAGAGAGAGACCAGAGAGAGACCAGAGAGAGACCCCTGAGAGACCCCTGAGAGACCAGAGAGAGAGAGACCAGAGAGAGACCAGAGAGAGACCAGAGAGAGACCAGAGAGAGACCAGAGAGAGACCAGAGAGAGACCAGAGAGAGACCCCTGAGAGACCAGAGAGAGAGAGACCAGAGAGAGACCAGAGAGAGACCAGAGAAAGACCAGAGAGACCAGTCTTGTACCTGATCTTGTAGTTGGGCAGGGTGTGTTTCCTCTTGATCACTCTCTTCAGCTGGTTTACGATGATGGAGGTGAGCTGAGGCAGTGGTCGCCCCTCAAACTGGGACTTGACCTCCATGTCCACCAGGGGGTCGTGCAGGAAGGAGAAGGACCAGTGGGTGAAGGGGATCCGGGTGAACTGCAGCCTCAGCCGGCCCACGACCCGCCTCAGCTTCACAAACAGGTACGCGGACTTCCCGAACACCAGGTCCACGTCGATGGCCAGGTGGAAGCCGCCATTGTACTCCAGGTCCACCTGCGGCAGACCCCAGGCTTTGGTTTGGGGTCTTTACCAGGAGAAAGACCATGTGCAAAGACTATGTGCAAAGACTATGTGCAAAGACTATGTGCAAAGACTATGTGCAAAGACTATGTGCAAAGACTATGTGCAAAGACCATGTGCAAAGACCATGTGCAAAGACCATGTTCAAAGACTATGTGCAAAGACCATGTGCAAAGACCATGTGCAAAGACCATGTGCAAAGACCATGTGCAAAGACCATGTTCAAAGACCAGAGCCAACAGCAACACAAAAACCACAACAAAGTACTGTAACTTACAGCTGCGGAGAGAATGCAACGCAATTACATATGATCGTACAGAGGATTTACGACACACTCTCTGCTCTCTCACTCTCTGCTCTGCTCTCACTCACTCTCTGCTCTCTCACTCTCTGCTCTCTCACTCTCTGCTCTCTCACTCTCTGCTCTCTCACTCTCTGCTCTCACTCTCTGCTCTCACTCTCTGCTCTCACTCTCTGCTCTCACTCTCTGCTCTCACCTCTCTGCTCTCTCACTCTCTGCTCTCTCACTCTCTGCTCTCTCACTCTCTGCTCTCTCACTCTCTGCTCTCTCACTCTCTGCTCTCTCACTCTCTCTGCTCTCTCACTCTCTGCTCTCTCTCACTCTCTGCTCTCACTCTCTGCTCTCACTCTCTGCTCTCTCACTCTCTGCTCTCTCACTCTCTGCTCTCTCACTCTCTGCTCTCTCACTCTCTGCTCTCTCACTCTCTGCTCTCTCACTCTCTGCTCTCTCACTCTCTGCTCTCTCACTCTCTGCTCTCACTCTCTGCTCTCACTCTCTGCTCTCACTCTCTGCTCTCACTCTCTGCTCTCACTCTCTGCTCTCACTCTCTGCTCTCTCACTCTCTGCTCTCTCACTCTCTGCTCTCACTCACTGCTCTCACTCTCTGCTCTCACTCTCTGCTCTCACTCTCTGCTCTCACTCTCTGCTCTCACTCTCTGCTCTCACTCTCTGCTCTCACTCTCTGCTCTCACTCTCTGCTCTCTCACTCTCTGCTCTCTCACTCTCTGCTCTCTCACTCTCTGCTCTCTCACTCTCTGCTCTCTCACTCTCTGCTCTCTCACTCTCTGCTCTCTCACTCTCTGCTCTCACTCTCTGCTCTCACTCTCTGCTCTCACTCTCTGCTCTCACTCTCTGCTCTCACTCTCTGCTCTCACTCTCTGCTCTCACTCTCTGCTCTCACTTTCTGCTCTCACTCTCTGCTCTCACTCTCTGCTCTCTCTCTCACTCTCTGGCCTTTCACTCTCTGCTCTCACTCTCTGCTCTCACTCTCTGCTCTCACTCTCTGCTCTCACTCTCTGCTCTCACTCTCTGCTCTCTCACTCTCTGCTCTCTCACTCTCTGCTCTCTCACTCTCTGCTCTCTCAATCTCTGCTCTCTCCTCTCTCACTCTCTGCTCTCTCACTCTCTGCTCTCTCACTCTCTGCTCTCTCACTCTCTGCTCTCACTCTCTGCTCTCACTCTCTGCTCTCACTCTCTGCTCTCACTCTCTGCTCTCACTCTCTGCTCTCACTCTCTGCTCTCACTCTCTGCTCTCACTCTCTGCTCTCTCACTCTCTGCTCTCTCACTCTCTGCTCTCTCACTCTCTGCTCTCTCACTCTCTGCTCTCTCACTCTCTGCTCTCTCACTCTCTGCTCTCTCACTCTCTTCTCTCTCACTCTCTGCTCTCTCACTCTCTGCTCTCTCACTCTCTGCTCTCTCACTCTCTGCTCTCTCACTCTCTGCTCTCTCACTCTCTGCTCTCTCACTCTCTGCTCTCACTCTCTGCTCTCACTCTCTGCTCTCACTCTCTGCTCTCACTCTCTGCTCTCACTCTCTGCTCTCACTCTCTGCTCTCACTCTCTGCTCTCACACTCTCTGCTCTCTCACTCTCTGCTCTCTCACTCTCTGCTCTCTCACTCTCTGCTCTCTCACTCTCTGCTCTCTCACTCTCTGCTCTCTCACTCTCTGCTCTCTCACTCTCTGCTCTCTCACTCTCTGCTCTCACTCTCTGCTCTCACTCTCTGCTCTCACTCTCTGCTCTCACTCTCTGCTCTCACTCTCTGCTCTCACTCTCTGCTCTCACTCTCTGCTCTCACTCTCTGCTCTCACTCTCTGCTCTCACTCTCTGCTCTCACTCTCTGCTCTCTCACTCTCTGCTCTCTCACTCTCTGCTCTCTCACTCTCTGCTCTCTCAATCTCTGCTCTCTCACTCTCTCTGCTCTCTCACTCTCTGCTCTCTCACTCTCTGCTCTCTCACTCTCTGCTCTCACTCTCTGCTCTCACTCTCTGCTCTCACTCTCTGCTCTCACTCTCTGGCCTTTCACTCTCTGCTCTCACTCTCTGCTCTCACTCTCTGCTCTCACTCTCTGCTCTCTCACTCTCTGCTCTCTCACTCTCTGCTCTCTCACTCTCTGCTCTCTCACTCTCTGCTCTCTCACTCTCTGCTCTCTCACTCTCTGCTCTCTCACTCTCTGCTCTCACTCTCTCTCACTGCTCTGCTCTCTCACTCTCTGCTCTCTCACTCTCTGCTCTCTCTCTCTCTGCTCTCACTCTCTGCTCTCACTCTCTGCTCTCACTCTCTGCTCTCACTCTCTGCTCTCACTCTCTGCTCTCACTCTCTGCTCTCACTCTCTCTGCTCTCACTCTCTGCTCTCACTCTCTGCTCTCTCTCTGCTCTCTCACTCTCTGCTCTCTCACTCTCTGCTCTCTCACTCTCTGCTCTCTCACTCTCTGCTCTCTCACTCTCTGCTCTCTCACTCTCTGCTCTCTCACTCTCTCGCTCTCACTCTCTGCTCTCACTCTCTGCTCTCACTCTCTGCTCTCACTCTCTGCTCTCACTCTCTGCTCTCACTCTCTGCTCTCACTCTCTGCTCTCACTCTCTGCTCTCACTCTCTGCTCTCACTCTCTGCTCTCACTCTCTGCTCTCTCACTCTCTGCTCTCTCACTCTCTGCTCTCTCACTCTCTGCTCTCTCACTCTCTGCTCTCTCACTCTCTGCTCTCTCACTCTCTGCTCTCTCACTCTCTGCTCTCTCACTCTCTGCTCTCTCACTCTCTGCTCTCTCACTCTCTGCTCTCTCACTCTCTGCTCTCTCACTCTCTGCTCTCTCACTCTCTGCTCTCTCACTCTCTGCTCTCTCACTCTCTGCTCTCTCACTCTCTGCTCTCTCACTCTCTGCTCTCTCACTCTCTGCTCTCTCACTCTCTGCTCTCTCACTCTCTGCTCTCTCACTCTCTGCTCTCTCACTCTCTGCTCTCTCACTCTCTGCTCTCTCACTCTCTGCTCTCTCACTCTCTGCTCTCTCACTCTCTGCTCTCTCACTCTCTGCTCTCTCACTCTCTCACTCTCTGCTCTCTCACTCTCTGCTCTCTCACTCTTTGCTCTCTCACTCTCTGCTCTCTCACTCTCTGCTCTCTCACTCTGGTCTCTCACCTCGAAGTTGAGCTCCTCTGGCAGTCCCTCATGGTTGGTGCTCACTGGTTTGATGATCTTGGTGGACTTGAACACAGGGACAGAGTTTCCCAGAGAGATGTCCCTGAGACTGAGACCTTCGAGGAGACGTCCCGCCGTTTTTGTCTGCAGCAGCTCCTCAAACTCCACCTTGATCTTCTTCGTGAGCCAGTGTCTCACCGCCGCTGTGTCCCGGAGCTCGCGGAACAGGAAGAGGAAGATGGCGTTCAGGAAGTGACACGTCTCAGCACGCTCCAGAGACTCCGGGGCATCAGGGCCTTTGGCTGGACCTGATGCGCACACACACACACACACACACACAACAGGTTTATACAGAGACACGGCAAGACCACACAGAGAGACCACAGAGAGACCACAGAGAGACCACACAGAGACCACACAGAGAGACCACAGAGAGACCACAGAGAGACCACACAGAGATCACACAGAGAGACCATACAGAGAGACCACACAAACAGACCACAGAGAGACCACAGAGAGACCACAAAGAGACCACACAGAGACCACACAGAGACCACACAGAGACCACACAGAGACCACACAGAGACCACACAGAGACCACAGAGAGACCACAGAGAGACCACAGAGAGACCACTGAGAGACCACACAGAGACCACAGAGAGACCACAGAGAGACCACACAGAGACCACACAGAGACCACACAGAGACCACAGAGAGACCACTGAGAGACCACACAGAGACCACACAGAGACCACAGAGAGACCACAGAGAGACCACTGAGAGACCACACAGAGACCACAGAGAGACCACACAGAGAGACCACACAGAGACCACACAGAGATCACACAGAGAGACCACACAGAGAGACCACACAGAGATCACACACACAGAGACCACACAGAGAGATCACACAGAGATCACACACAGAGACCACACAGAGATCACACACAGAGACCACACAGAGATCACACACAGAGACCACACAGAGACCACACACAGAGACCACACAGAGATCACACACAGAGACCACACAGAGAGATCACACAGAGATCACACACAGAGACCACACAGAGATCACACACAGAGACCACACAGAGATCACACACAGAGACCACACAGAGAGATCACACAGAGATCACACACAGAGACCACACAGAGAGACCACACAGAGATCACACACAGAGACCACACAGAGAGATCACACAGAGATCACACACAGAGACCACACAGAGAGACCACACAGAGATCACACACAGAGACCACACAGAGATCACACACAGAGACCACACAGAGAGACCACACAGAGATCACACACAGAGACCACACAGAGAGACCACACAGAGATCACACACAGAGACCACACACAGAGACCACACAGAGAGATCACACAAACAGACCACAGAGACACATCACAGAAGTAGCATCTCTTCAGCTTTATCGATATTAAACTTGTGAATGTACTTATCTCAACGACTGAAACAAAAAGTGACCAAGTGGTCAATAAATACATAACAATAACTACAGATCCAAAGTGTTCATGAGACATGAAGCCTGTGGGAAGAAGATTCTAGTTTCTCTCTCTCTCTGGACTTTCTCTCTCTGGTCTCTCCCTCTCTCTGGTCTCTCCCTCTCTCTGGTCTCTCCCTCTCTCTGGTCTCTCCCTCTCTCTGGTCTCTCCCTCTCTCTGGTCTCTCTCTCTCTCTGGTCTCTCCCTCTCTCTGGTCTCTCTCACACACATAGTAAACATCAGCGGGCCTACCTTTAGCGGCAGACGCGGCAGAGGGAGCGGCAGACGCGGCAGAGCTCGCGCCGTCCTCCGCTTCCTGCTGCTGCTGCGTCTGGGCGATCGGCGGCTGTTGTGCGCTGTTGAAGTACACTCGCAGCGTGTCGTCAGGTTCCACGCTCCCGAACGGCCGCGGTACGGGCGGTACGGGCTCCGGGGAGCGGCGGAACAGCAGCACGTACTGCAGCAGCAGCGTCAGCACGGCCCCGGTGATGGCCGCCAGCAGCAGGGAAAGCATGGCCGGAAGCAGGAGCCTGGTCCAGGGCAGAGGAGATACGAGAGGCCGGGGTTGGAGGCCGCGGTCTGGAGCTGTCTGTGGAGCGTCAACAACAGTACCGCTCCACCTGAGCCGCCATGTCCTCAGGAGCACAGGGTGCCAGACACGGAGGAAGAAACACTCGCTCGAGACTAAGGGCCAAACAAAAACAATAATAAGCTAGGCCAGTTTATTTGTATAGCTGAACAGAACAAGAACAATAATAAATGATCACGGGGAATTCAAACGAGTAAAGATATAACCTACTGTTGTGACAGCAAAACAACTGTTTTTCACCTGGATCTGAAAATTGTCAGAGAAGTAGCCTGTGTCACATTTTCAGCAAGACTGCTCCAGATTGTTGCAGCATAAATCTGAAACTAGGCTTCCCAATGTTTAGTCCTGACTCTGGGACAAGCAGGAGGCCAGTCCCTGTGCTCCTCAGAGTCCCAGTAGTAGGCCAGTGTCTCTCTCTGGTCCTCTCACATTAGTCCTGGTCTCTCTCTCTCTGCTGTCTTACTGGCTCTGGTCTCTCTTTCTGGTCCCTCCCTGGTCTCTCTATCTGGACTCTCTCTCTGGACTGTCTCTCACTTCTGTCTCTCTGATCTCTCTCTCTGGTCTTTCTCTGGTCTATCTTTAAGACAGATACATAAACATCTGCAGTTCTGGGAGCTCAGAGTGGCTAAGAAAGAGCAGATCTGGCAACCTCGCACTCTGTTTCTGATTGGGCCAGCGACACACGCACGCTGCGGAGTGACATGGGCGATGACGTCTCATTCCCAAACAAACACCAACAAACCTCCTCCCGCGACATTAGAACTCAGAGAGAATATATTTATAATATAAGGTATACGTATAAAATACATTCGTGGTCTTCATAAGTGTGTGGTTTGTATGGAGTTCATTTCTCCATCAATATTTTTTAATGAAATAGTCTTTTACTTTCAGACCGTAGCCAGTACTCGTTACCATAGCAACAAAATGTTTACTTGCAAACAGTTAGCATTAGCCTTTAAAACAAACTGCTTTTAACTGTAATCCAGGTTATATTCACCAGATGAATTTCTTTGACCCATCTATCTAAAAAGTAAAACATTTTGGGGGGAAATTCACAGAAGTCCTTTGCTTTGTCAGTGAGCAGTCAAAATGACGGCTGTGGGAGTTTGAGGAGTTTTAAAATTGTAGTGTTAAAGAAGTCATCATTTGCACAGACCTCAGTTTTGGACGCACTTGAGTCACAGCAGCCCTGCAGGCTCCGCTCAGACCGCAGAGCCGAGCCTGGGTCAGCTTTAAACTTATAATGTTGTATTTTCTGTCTTTCTTCTTGTGTTTCTTCTGTTTGTCTCGTCTTCTTGTATTCTATCTTATTGTTTTAACTTTGTATTTAACTGTTTTATTGTTTATTATGCTGAGCGCTTTGTAAACATTGTTTTTGAAAAGTGCTATACAAATAAATATTTATTATTATTATTATTATTATTACTCTAATATAAAACAGGATCAGATATTTTGTCTCTGATGAGCGAGACCTTTTGTCCAACAAGAGGGAAGTGAAAAGTATCAGACCTGTTCTGACAAGTTCAATGCACACACACACAAATACACAAAGACACACACACAGACACAGGGAGACACACAGACACACACACACACACACACAGGGAGACACACACAGAGAGAAAGAGAGAGAGAGACACGCACAGCGACGCACAAAGACACACATTTGGATCCAAAGATAGACCACATCAGGAAAAACATTAGATTTACGGATTTTCTGCTTTTGATCATGGGAGAAATGGACTCTACCGACTTTAGCCTCTACAAGGACCAGCTCTGTGAGTGCAGGTTTAGACCTGTCTAGGTCCTGCTTTAGTCCTTCTTTAGACCTGCTTTTGTCCTGCTTCAGACCTACTTTAGTCCAGCTTTGGTCCTGCTTTAGACCTGCTTCAGACCTACTTTAGTCCTGCTTTAGACCTGCTTAAGACCTACTTTAGTCCTGTTTTAGACCTGCTTTAGTCCTGCTTTAGACCTGCTTTTGTCCTGCTTCAGACCTGCTTTAGTCCAGCTTTGGTGCTGCTTTAGACCTGCTTTAGTCCTGCTTTAGTCCTGCTTTAGACCTGCTTTAGACCTGCTTTAGACCTGCTTTAGACCTGCTTCAGACCTACTTTAGTCCTGCTTTAGACCTGCTTAAGACCTACTTTAGTCCTGTTTTAGACCTGCTTTAGTCCTGCTTTAGACCTGCTTTTGTCCTGCTTCAGACCTGCTTTAGTCCAGCTTTGGTGCTGCTTTAGACCTGCTTTAGTCCTGCTTTAGTCCTGCTTTAGACCTGCTTTAGTCCAGCTTTAGATCTGCTTTAGTCCTGCTTTAGACCTGCTTTAGTCTAAAACTATAGACCTGCTTTAAATCTACTTTAGAGCTGCTTTTGTCCTGTTTTAGTCCTGCTTTAGACCTGCTTTAGACCTGCTTTTGTCCTGCTTTAGACCTGCTTTAGTCCTGCTTTAGACCTGCTTTAGACCTGCTTTAGTCCTGCTTTAGACCTGCTTTTGTCCTGCTTTAGACCTGCTTTAGTCCTGCTTTAGACCTGCTTTAGACCTGCTTTAGACCTGCTTTAGTCCAGCTTTAGACCTGTTTTAGTGCTGCTTTCGTCCTGCTATAGACTAAAACAGGTCTAAAGCAGGACTCAAGCTTTAGACCTGCTTTAGACTTGCTTTAGATCTGCTTTAGACCTGCTTAGGACTGTCTTAGTCCTGCTTTAGTCTTGCTTTAGACCTGCTTTAAACCTTCTTTAGACCTGCTATAAGCCTGCTTTAGTCCTCCTTATAATCCTGGTAGGGTCTATCTGAGTGGAGTTTGCATGTTCTCCCCATGCCTGCAGAGGGTTCCTCCAAATGCTGCGGTTAACATCTGGAGATGATGGTTCCCGGGCGGCGGGCGCTGTTTGGGCGACCACTGCTCCTGATGCAGAGGATCAATTGCCTACAGGGATAAATAAAGTGCCCCTGGTAATCCAAGATGGCGGCCTGTGCTCAGTGGCGCCACACTATGGGCACTGAAAGATTAGCGGAACTCGCCCATATTTGGTCATTTCTCTGGTTCTCCTGGACCACACACCTGCTCTCATGTACGTGCACAGAGGGGCAGCGTTCTGACCAATCAGAGCGGAGCTAGAGCGGGAGGAAACAGAGTTTGTTGCACTGAATTGTGGACTTATAGAAAACCAATGAACAAAAGTTCAGAACAAAAAGAGACTAAATTCCCCACAAAATCCTCCTTTATGAAAGCCGTAGGTTCTCTGTCAGATGAGGTTTTACTTCACATTGAGTTCTGTGGGACAGCTATAAGCTAATAATACTATCCATACACTTATTATAACATCCCAGATGAATATTCAGACTGTAAGACGAGTAAATGTGCAGAGGAATGTGACAAGTCTGAACAGGACGGAGACACATCAGAGAGGGATTAGAACCACACACACAGACACACACACACACACACACACACACACACACACACAGATACATACATGCAGATGGTTGTTCCATAAGAATACTGTTGGCCGTGGTTCCACAGACAGGTTTCTCTGCTGCTCCACTTTTCCATTCTCTTACACAATGATTGCTATAGACCTGCTTTAGTCCTGGTTTAATCTTACTTTAGACCTGCTTTAGTCCTGCTTTAGTCCTGCTTTAGTCCTGCTTTAGTCCTGCTAAAGACCTGCTTTAGTCCTGCTTTAGACCTGCTTTAGTCCTGCTTTAGTCCTGCTTTAGACCTGCTTAAGGGCCCACAGTGGCTCAGTTGGTAGAGCAATGGCCTTTGGGCCTGAAGGTCGTGGGTTCGAGCCCATCGTGAATAAGACCTTCTTCACGATTCCCACTGGTGTCTGCTCTCATTGTGTCCTTGGGCAAGACACTTACACCCCACTGAAGATCTCAGCTCCTGTGGACTCAGCACCTGCAGGAGGATCAGTGAGGGGCTGGTGGACTGGGTGCAGCTCTGACTGCCGCCCTCCTGACCCAGAAATGGATTGAGGGGAAGAAAATTGAGGGATGGATGGACCGAGGGATAGACCTGCTATGGACCTGCTTTAGGCCCCAAAGTCTTGTGTTACAACTTTTTTTCCTGGGTGTGTTTCCTCCGGGCGCTCCAGGTCAAATGCACAGGACCCATGTCAGTAGAATGTACCTTCATCAGTGTTTGTGTCTTAGATCGCAGTGCGGAGCCAGTGGAAGACACAGACACCTCCAGTATCCACAGCATCGTGAGTTTAGAGCTGACTCACATTAGAGCTGACTCTCATTAGAGCTGACTCACATTAGAGCTGACTCACATTAGAGCTGACTCACATTAGAGCTGACTCTCATTAGAGCTGACTCTCACATTAGAGCTGACTCTCACATTAGAGCTGACTCACATTAGAGCTGACTCTCACATTAGAGCTGACTCACATTAGAGCTGACTCTCATTAGAGCTGACTCTCACATTAGAGCTGACTCACATTAGAGCTGACTCTCACATTAGAGCTGACTCACATTAGAGCTGACTCTCTCATTAGAGCTGACTCTCTCATTAGAGCTGACTCTCACATTAGAGCTGACTCACATTAGAGCTGACTCTCATTGGAGCTGACTCTCATTAGAGCTGACTCTCACATTAGAGCTGACTCTCATTAGAGCTGACTCAAATTAGAGCTGACTCTCACATTAGAGCTGACTCTCATTAGAGCTGACTCACATTAGAGCTGACTCTCACATTAGAGCTGACTCTCATTAGAGCTGACTCACATTAGAGCTGACTCACATTAGAGCTAACCTCTGGTGTGTTGCAGGAAAACTTCCCGGTGCAGGTCACAGATCCACACGGTGAGTTCTGGGTTTGATTCCCTCCTGGGCCTTTCTCAGTGTTTGCATGTTCTCCCTGTTTCTCCAGTATCTTTTCTAACTAAAGGTACGTGCTGGAGGTTCTGCATGCACCCCTGCAGGCGACCATCAAGGTTACAGTCTGGGAGAGAACTTTGTAAACATGAACCAGGAGTAATGTGATTTATAGACAACTCTTCTACGGGAAGTCACGTATGGCCTGCTAAGAACTTCTGTTTTCGGACTTCCGCTTAGCTCTTAGCTTACACAATCCAGATCAAACTAAAGAGACTATTGTCAAGGATCATACCATGTTATCAGACTTTAAAACAGGGTACTCATTTCAAAAAGCAAACAGGGTTCTGGGACATTGTGTGCAGTGCATTCTGAAGTAGCATTGGTCTCCTCAAAATCATGACATGCTCTTACACATTTTTGTATATAAATCCTCTTTCACATACACAACAACACAAAATTTCAATGAGAAATCAATGGGCTATATGCACGAGGAGGCGTGACGTCATTTCCTGTTAACAAGGAACAGCCCCTCCACTTCCTGTCTATGCTATCCTATGGCTTTTAGGTGGGTTTTAGTGACGTTTTTTAGTAAATAGATCGATACATTCAGCTGAGACTGACCCAAAAGTGTCGCTGAGCTTTCTCTCTGAGGTAGAGCTTCGTCTGTGGCCACTCAGAGAGATTTGGAAACTTTAAAAAAACACAATGACAGCACAATCAAAGAGCACTGCTGTGTCCCAAAAATGCCCAGTATCCACAGTTTAATCCCCGTCTGAGCATTATTTGGGAAACTCGTGTAAACCACTGTACTCCAGTGAAACTCAAGCCGTTTCCCGCGAACAGGAAGTGAAGTGGGGGTTGTAGCTAAAACGCGGAAGTGGTGCTTCTATTTCATATGTTGCTTCGCCCTTTAGGCTTCGCTAATGCATATCTCTCGGAAGCATCGCTTCCCGCCCTGAGAAGATCAAACGATCCACCCTCCAATCACCTTCACGTCCTGGCGTAGGCCAGTCCCCTATAAATAGGGCCATGGACCACAGCTCTTCTCCTTTCTCTCTCAGCTTGCCCAAGAGAAGCTTCGATTCATTTGCTAGGATGTCTTCAAGCAAGATCCCCGCACCTGAGAACTTGCCACCCTCCGGTGTCAGGCTGCGGATCTGCGACTTGTGCCCAGCGGCACTCTCCCAGACTGTCCACCACGAGTCCAGCGTCTTCTGCCTGGGCTGGCGTCGTGCCGCGGGAGAAAGCCCCAGTTGTGTGGCTTTATTGACGCCGTGGATTATTCATGCCGCATAGAGTGGTGCCCTTGGTGGCATCGCTCATGGTGAGCTACCCTCTATCCACGCTGAACAGACGTATAGCTAATACACCACAGATGGTTGCCCTAGCTTAACACATCACTTTGCTCGCTTCATCCCTGGAGTGGTGCCCATGGTGGCTCGCTCATGGGGTGCTACGTTCTGCTCACGCTGGACAGGCGTAATACTACTGCACCACAGATGGTTGCTTAATAACATCACTCTCGGTGCCCATGGTGGCTCGCTCAGGGTGTGCCTCTGCTTCACTATATCAGCCGCGAGGGGATAGGCCCATGACAGCCCATTCCCCGGCGCTAGCGTATGGAGTATACGCGGGTGCGGAGGCCTGGCCTTGGCGGTCAGGCTTTCCTCCCATAGAGGATGGAGTACGTCTGTACACCAGCTTCCTCTGGGGTCTGGGCTGGCACCCCCACCCCCAGGTTGACTTCAGGAGGGGGTTCGAATGGGTGTTGTGGACCACCACATCGAGGTCTTCACGGACGCCTCACTGAGTGGTTGGGGAGGCGTGCTCGGCCACCACTCGACAGGAGGCGTTTGGTCCTCCCTCTTGGGGCACATCGACCTCCTGGAGTTGGAGGCGATGCGGTTGGTGCTGGCCCATTTCGTGACCAGACTGGAGGGCCAACAGGTGATCGTTCGGACGGACAACACCACTGTGGCAGCATACCTGAACAGGCATGGGGGGACCAGGTCCCCCGCCCTTCACAGGCTGGCAGTGGAGGTTCTTCTGTGGGCGGACATTCACCTAGCCTCTCTGAGGGCCCGTGACATCCCAGGCGAGCGTAACGTGGCCGCCGACAGGATGTCCAGGGGCGGGGCCTTGCGGGACGAGTGGGGTCTCGCCCCAGCGGTCGTGGCAGAGGTCTGGCTCCGGTTCGGGACACCGGTGGCCGACCTTTTCCCAAATGCAGAGAACGCACAGTGCCCACTCTGGTTCTCGCTCAGGTCCAGCAACGAGCCCCCTCTCGGGGTGGACGCCATGGCGCACCAGTCGTGGCCCAACGGTCTCCTCCACGCCTTCCCGCCTCTCCGGCTCTTGGCAGCCCTGCTTTACAAGGTGAGGACGGAGGGGGTCTCCCTCCTGGTAGTGGCGCCGGACAGCCCGGAAGCCAGGTGCTATCCGGACCTGGTGAGCATGGCGCTCAGTCCGCCTTGGCCCGTTCCAGACCGTCCCGATGCTCTGAGACAGGCAGGGAGAGCCCTTTACTCACGCCCTGTCCTGGGAAGCAGGCTCATGTTGAGCCTTGGTCTCCCTCCCTCAGTGGTCGCTACTATTCAGGGTGGGAGGGCTACATCCACCACCACAAGCGTATTAGGTTCGCTGGAAACTCTTCGCCTCTTGGTGCGTGGACAGATGTTGGACCCCACCTAGTGTTTCATCCAGGAGGTCTTGGCTTTTCTCCAGTTCTTGCTGGAGAAGAGGAAGGGCGGCCGCCACTCTGGGTGTGTTTGCGGCGGCCATTACCACTGGGCACGTGGGGTTTGGTAGCCACTCTGCGCGCTTCCTACGAGGGGCCTGCAGGATCAGGCCTCCCTCCCCGCTCACTTCACCTACAATTTTCCCACCTTATTAGCCAATTCATTCAATCATTTCCACAAAAATCACCCATTACCCATCTACCCAATCCATATACAACACAACCCCTTCAAATAATATTTCTATTTCAACTTCCAATTTACTTTTTTAACATATATCCAAACTATCATCCTACTATAAATACCCACCCCTAACTTTATTTCAATAATCTATTATCCCAAACCCTTCCAACCATCCCAATTATACACTACTACATACATAACATTTATTACCTTTTTCAACTAAAACCAACCACCCATCATCTTCTTATACTCTCCTCCTTTCCAATACACATCCCTTACTTTCATATCTATCACAAATTACTCCACTACATAACACATACTTACTTAAACCTATAAATATTTAAATTCCCCCCTTCTACCTTCATCATCAAATACACCCCCTCTCAATTCATACTCAACTCCAATCACACATATCCTATTCCCCCCTTCAATACAATCTACCATCTTCTCCCCCTCCCATCATACTCTCTCAAAAACAACATCTTCCTATAACATCTACTCACCTAACACCATCCTCTAAACCCACCCCCAACCCCCCTTCAATAACCACTACATTTTTTTCTATATCTATCTAAATTTTTCTCACACTTTATCCCCCACTTACACCCCTACTATACATCCACACTAACTCTATATCTCTCCCTATCTTATCTCACCCACTTTTACCATTCATCTCTATTATACCCTATTTTAATTCCCCCCCTCTTTCCTTTCTCTCACCCACCCCCCAACAACCTATAATCTTCTCCCCTACCATATCACCAACAAAATATAAAAATAAACAACATCCCATACCCTTTTTCAACAACCCCTATATTTTCAAACACCACAACCAAACCATAATACTCTTTTTCCACAAACACACTACAATAAATTTACCCCATTACAAAACCTACTATCATAAAAAATATAAATACCCCCTCCCCCCCCTTCATATAAAAAAACCCCCCCCCTTTTGCCCCTTTTTTTTTTTTTTACACTCACCCTTATTCCCCCCCGCCCTTGTGTGTCTGTTTGTTTTTGTGGGTGTGCCCGCCCCCCTGCCGCGGTGTGTGTTTTGGCCCCCACCGTGCCCCCCCCCCCGGGAGGGGCTTGTGCTTTAAGAGCAGGACCGGTCTGGCCTGCTCGAGTTTTAGTGATGCTTGGTTGCAGAGAAGGCAACACCTGAGAACCTGAGATCCTGAGATGAAACATGCGCCTACAACTTGTAAATATTGCACTGTATTGCACTGGGGTAATAATGGGAAATAATAAATCACTGTGAAAAGTGTTTTTTGACTGAGCCATTGTGTTTTTGGAAAAAGACCCCACAACACTATCCGTTTGGCGTATGAAGCTCAGGGCTTGCTGCCTCCAGCCCAGTTGAGGGCTCACTCCACTCGCGGGGTTACCGCTTCCGTGGCTTTGTTCCATGACACTTCGGTGGAGGAGATCTGCAGAGCGGCGTCTTGGTCCTCCTCCTCGACTTTTGTGCAGTTTTACCTACTGGAGGTGGCCTCTGACTCTGTGGCTCATTCAGTTTTGAGTGCAGGGCGGCCCTAGTTCCTCCTTCGACAGACCTCGGTGAGAACTGGTCTGCAGGGGGGGGGTTGTGTGGAGAGGTGTTGGCGCTCTTGGGAGAGGCGGCCTGGACACCTCTGCAGTAAGGATAGGCGCTCTTGGAAGAGGCGGCCTAGGCCCTTCTGCAGGCTACTTTACCATCCTGGGGATCAGGCGCTCTTGGGAGAGGCTGCCTGCCCAGGTTTGTTCTGAATTCTTTCCTGCTTTGCAGGTTGGGGAATGCGCGGGCACTCTTGGGAGAGGTGGCCCTGCATCCCTTTCTCTATGGCTCGTAGGACCTCCGTCTCTACCGCTTGGTTGCGGTATGAGCACGTGGGTCACGAGTTTGCTCCAATCACCGGAGTTCATGCCTGCTGGGAGTACATCGGTCTGGGCTTCGCTATGTTATGCATTAGCGAAGCCTGAAGGGCGAAGCAACATATGAAATAGAAACCCCAGTTACCTAATGTAACTAAGGTTCTATGAGTATGTTGCGAAGCCCTTTAGCTTCGAGCCCAGCAGACCTGCCCACTCTTATTCGGCTGAGTTGGAAAGGAGAAGAGCTGTGGTCCATGGCCCAATTTATAGGGGACTGGGCTACGCCAGGACGTGAAGGTGATTGGAGGCTGGATCATTTGATCTTCTCAGGGCGGGAAGTGATGCTTCCGAGAGATATGCAACATATTCATAGAACCTTAGTTACATTAGGTAACTGGGGTGTGCATAGAGCCCATTACAAACGATAGAAAACAAATAATAACAAAGTATCTAACAACAACGCATCTACACAAATATAAGTACAGAATTGCCTAAGAAATAATCAAATTGTGTACTTCTGTAGAAAAAATAGATGTTGTTCCTTTTTAGTTTCAAAAATATATACCCATGGATACATACTCTTACACATATGTTTATCCTGCACACACAAACACGCTGCCAGTGGACCAGACTGACAGTTAGCCAAAGTGCTACAATACAGTGGGAAGAATGATGGACCAGACTGTGGCCGATAGAGGGCTCACAGATGACGACGCCTCTCTGCACACGGGAAAGATTCTGATATTTTGATGAATGGATGAATGGATGGACCTTTATTGTGAAATTCATTCCCACAGACAGTGTCCCATATGGGCTGCCGTTTGTAAAAATTCTGTTAAAATTTTTTAGCTGAACATTTTTCTACATTTAGCTCACTTTCCTCACATTTTGCACATTTTCCTCACATTTAAGACATATCTATATCTAAATATTATATCTATATCTAAATGTTAAATGTTATATCTAAATATTATATCTATATCTAAATGTTATATCTATATCTAAATGTTAAATCTAAATGTTAAATCTAAATGTTAAATCTAAATGTTAAATCTAAATGTTAAATCTAAATGTGTCGCCAAGTGTAAAGCTAAATATATAGAAACCACGCCCACTGCAGTGGCTTCAAATCCAGTGGGCCCGCCTTCCGTGCCGTGTGGTGAGAACCCTACAGGATTACACAGGAATCTCACGGGACTCCACGTGGCTTAGTTTACAGTGAATACACTCTGGCTCCAGCAAATAAGCAAGAATCTTCACAAAAATGCTAATTTTGTGCCGTGGCCAAGGACGATGGCGCCGGAGACCCAACATGCCTTGAGCCGTGACGTCGGTCCACGTGTATTCCTATGTTCAAAACACGCGGCACCGCCCCCACTCACCACACGGCACGGAAGGCGGGCCCACTGGATTTGAAGCCACTGCAGTGGGCGTGGTTTCTATATATTTTAGCTTTACACTTGGCGACACATTTAGATTTAACATTTAGATTTAACATTTAGATTTAACATTTAGATTTAACATTTATATATAGATATAACATTTAGATATAGATATAATATTTAGATATAACATTTAACATTTAGATATAGATATAACATTTAGATATAGATATAACATTTAGATATAGATATAACATTTAGATATAGATATAACATTTAGATTTAACATTTAGATTTAACATTTAGATTTAACATTTAGATTTAACATTTAGATTTAACATTTAGATTTAACATTTAGATTTAACATTTAGATTTAACATTTAGATATAGATATAACATTTAGATATAGATATAATATTTAGATATAACATTTAACATTTAGATATAGATATAATATTTAGACATAGATATGTCTTAAATGTGAGGAAAATGTGCTAAATGTGAGGAAAGTGAGCTAAATGTAGAAAAATGTTCAGCTAAAAAATGTTAACAGAATTTTTACAAACGGCACCCCATAGTCCCATGCATAGAATAAAAACACAGAAAGAGGCGAAATTACAGACTGTTAAGAGCAGCTGGGACAAACTTTTGCTAAATCTTTCCTGGTTCCATCTTAATGTTCTGTATCTGCGTCCTGAAGGCAGCAGAGTGAAGTGGGAGAGGATGAATAATAATGCATCGCTTTTATTTAGCGCTTTTTTGGACACTCAAATGTCGGGAGGATGGAGTGAAGTATGAGCCGTTATAAGCACTTCATTATGATGGAGGCTGAAGTAACGGGTCCATAGTGGTTTGGCTCATAGGTCTGTTATGAAATCTCACATGTCCTTTAGCCTTTTAGGATGTTGTCATCCCAAGTCGTTATTGTAAGAGATGATTTTATAGACATATTACACAAAGAAAAGTACTCTGATAGCTGTGTCAGAACGTAAACAGGAAGTCCTTAGCAGCACAAAGTCTCTAACTTATATGTGACTTGTATGAAACGTATTACATTTACCAAACATTATTTATCTGACTGATTCCTTCAGTTAGACTAGACCAGTCTATAAAGTGTTTTGACTGTAATTGTAATGTCAAAAATAACCATAACTCAGCTGTAGTGCGCATGCGTGACCAACAGAGGGCGTTCTTTTCTCATTTCAGACGCCGTCACTCTGCAGCTCAGCTCAGTGTCTCCAAATGCATGCAGGATTCAACAGGTGTGTCTGTGTGTGAGTGTGTGTGTGTGTGTGTGTGTGTGTGTGTGTGTGTGTGTGTGTGTGTGTGTGTGTGTGTGTGTGTGTGTGTGTGTGTGTGTGTGTGTGTGCGTGTGCACTTGTTTTCAACTCCTGGTGGGTTCCATAACCTGAGATTCCACTCACGTCATGGGGACTGGTTTTACGTGGTGGGGCCCGAACACCGGACCCCACTGGTCCAAGCTTAATAATCAATGGGTAATGCTTTTCTAACGGTCCTTATGCAGTCTCTGTAAAAATATGGAAAGGACCCCTGGAGGTTTACTTTCCTGAAAAAAGTGTGTTATGTGTCGGAACCCTGGTGGTGGGTTGCGGGATATCAAGGAGGGGCACACTGGGGCAATTTCAGTCCAGCAGGCTGGAGCCAATCATGGAGCAGCACAACAGAGGAAATCAGGTGTCAGGCTAGAAAAAGGTGCAAGTGTGTGGTTCATTAGGCTGCAAGAAATCATGGAGGAGCACACTGAAGCGCACGCTTACAAACCACTGGTAAGTGCTGACTACAAGTCATGACTTCAAATTGTTATATAGAATGATTACAAATTATTTGTTGTTTGTGCAGCTTAGTCAAGAGTCCCTAATTGATGAAGTCGACTCAGATTCTGACGATTTAACTGTCAAGAAGAAACCTGTAAAAAAGTATGGAAAAAGAAAAATCAAAAACACTTTTCTTCAAGACTCGGAAAGTGACGAACCAAAGGCAAATAAGATTGTTATCATGCAGCTGCAAAAGAAGAAAAATGGGGGGCGAGTTTACAGCAAGAGACACTTCTGCCTCTACTGTTCAATGTCCTGCCACAAAATGTCCCGTCATTTGACTAGAAAACATGGAAATGAAAGTGACGTAGCCAGAGCATTGGCTCTACCTGTGAAATCTAAAGCACGTAAACTTCAGTTTGATTTGATCAGGAATAGTGGAAACCGTGAGCACAATTTTGAGGTTTTAAAGGCCGGCATTGGAACTTTAGTCCCAGCTAAACAGCCAAATTCCCCAGTTAAATCCAGTGAGTTTTTGCACTGTATAGACTGTGGGGCATTGCTTAAGCGAAAGTCGCTGTGGAGGCATGTGGCCAGGTGCCGGCTTTCACAGAAAGATGCCCAGGCTAAACCAGGTAGAAGTAGGGTCCAGTCCCTCTGCTCCCTAGCCCAGCCTGTACCGGAGGGCATCAGCAAAAAGCTGTGGGTCTTTAATTTGGGCAATGCATCAGGATGAGGTCACGGGTGTTGTCAAAGCAGAAAAGGGGATTCTGAGACTCGGAGAGCACCTGTACTTAAAACACGGGCATGATAAGACTAAGCATGATTACATTAGGCAGAAAATGAGAGAAGTCGGTAGGTTAATTAACGAAGCAAAAACCGCAGGGAAACTGAAAACAATTAAGGATTTCTTTATTCCTTCCAACTTTAACCATGTGATTGATGCAGTCAGGTCTGTGGCTGGATATGATGAGGAAACAAATCAATACAAGACTCCATCCTTGGCCCTCAAACTCGGCCATAGCCTCAGAAAGCTAGCAGATATTCTTGAATGTGACCCAAAAATGGAGCATTGTGTTGATGAACTATTTATTAAAAACCTCCAACGAAGCCGGCTGCTTTTTGAGAAGAGGTGGGACGTCTGTGTTTCTTCTGCTGCCCTACAGACCCTCCGGCAAGCCAAGTGGAACACTCCGGACCTGCTCCCTCTGACTGAGGACGTTAGAGCCATGCATGCACATATTGAGGTATGTCGACCTGAATATGTGCAAACCCTAATAAGTGAGCCAACGTCTAAGCATTGGTCTAAACTGGCAGTTTTGACTCTTTGTGAGGTCATCATTTTCAATCGAAGAAGGGAAGGTGAGGTTTCAAAGATGCCACTGACAGCCTTTACCTTAAGAAGTAAGACTGGGATCCATTCTGACATTGCTCTGGGACTGTCCCAACTTGAGAAAAAGCTGTGTCAGCATTTTCAACGCATTGAAATTAAAGGGAAAAGAAGTCGGAAAGTGCCGGTTCTTTTGACTCCTGAAATGATTGCTTCGATGGAGGTGCTGGTGGAGAACAGAAGGGCCTGTTCCATCTCTGACCATAACCCATACTTCTTTTCCCGCCCGGGCGCAGACACCCACATCAGGGGATCAGACTCCCTACGCCAGGTAGCCAAAGAATGTGGTGCGGTGCATCCAGAGATGCTATCCTCAACCAAACTTAGAAAGCACATAGCTACTATGTCTACAGTTCTCAATATGAAAGAGAATGAGATGGACATACTTGCCAACTTCCTCGGCCATGACATTCGCATCCACAGGCAATATTACAGACTACCAGAGGGGACACTGGAGCTGGCCAAAATCAGCAAAGTGTTGATGGCCATGGAGCAGGGAAGAGTGACGGAATTCGAAGGAAAGAGCCTCGACCAGATACAAATTGAGCCTGAAGGTAATTCTTGATATTATTAAAATATGTATGATTTTTTTCCCCTAAAGGCCACTTGTATTTTTATTTTCTGTGCGACAGAGAGAGCAGTAGAGATCCTCTCACAAACGGACGGGCTAAAAGAAACTTCAAGCGGAGAACCTTCAACCATTCATCCAGATGCACCCCATGGTAGTGGCAGTGCCCCTTCTGGTAAGTGTACCAGGTGGGGGATTACAGCCAGGCTGCTTGGTCCTCACCCTGGGAGTGTATATTGCTAATATATTTTTATTTCTCTCCCTAGAACGTGTAAGAAAGCCATGGTCTGCATCTGAGGTGAAGGCTGTGGAGAAGACCATGACACCTTTCATACAGACTGGAAAGGTCCCTGGGAAGTCTCACTGCCTGGCCTGCATTAATGCCTCACCAGATGACTTTAGACATCGGACATGGAGTGGCATTAAATTCTATGTCAAAAATAGAATCACTGCAATTCGAAAACAAAATCTAAAATAAAATTCCTTTAAAATAGTTGTTTGGTTTCTATTGACTGTTTTGTATTACTTAAAGTCTTGGTAAAAAAAGATTATGTCTATGGGTCCCATTCTGAACGGCCCTGTCAAAGGGACCCACCAGGTAACAAAAACGTGTGTGTGTGTGTGCGTGTACGTGTACGTGTGCGTGTCTGTGTGTCTCATATGTGTCTGTGTGTGTATTGCAGCCGGTGGAGGACGTGGACTGCACATGCTCCTCCTCATCGTCTCCAGGTGACTCACACAGCGACTCCTGCTGGACCATTGCATACAACAATAACAATGATAATAATTATTATTATTATTATAATTATAATAATAGCCTTTATTCTGAACTTAAGGTCCATACAAAAGATAATACAAAGACACCAGTGTGTTTCACACAGAGAAACACAAAAAGAGAAATAAAAAAATAACAAAGCCTAATGACTCTTTAAAGAAGACACTTGTATCAGTGTTCCCAGAACGGCGAAATACAGGTAAAGGCGTGTTGTCCTGAACTTAACATTCACAAATACAACAACAACTAGGTTTGTTGACTCGAATAAAGCTAAACATTACATGGACAGACTTCAGTGTTCTCTCTGGTTCTCACTCGGTCACACAAATATTCTCCCTCTCAGAACCTAAGGCCCTCCTCACCCTCTGCTCTTGCTGCTCCCCCCCGCCCCCACACATCGGTGACGTCCTGAACGACCCGGAGCTGCTGGACGCGCTGCGGCTGAAGCTGGACCCCGCGCGCTTCACGGTGAAGAACTGGCGTCACGTGGGCGCGCGCTGGGGCCTGAGCTTCGACGAGCTGACCCTGCTGGAGCAGCGCGCGGAGAGCCCAACCTTAGAGCTGCTCGTGCGCTTCAGACACAAACCTGTGCAAGAGCTGCACGCGCTCTGCCTCTTCTACCAGCGCATTGATGTCACACGCATCCTCACACACTGGACACAGGGGGACTGGCCCCGCAGGTGGAGGCTGAGGCACCTGAGGCAGTGAGGGTCAGGGGTCACAGCATGAACCTGCACAGACCTGCAGCTGTGTTTAGCTCCCTCCAATCTGACCCAACAGGTCCAGGCTCCATTATCAGCGTCTGTGTGTGTGTGTGTGTGTGTGTGTGTGTGTGTGTATTTGCAGGGCCGGCCCTAGTTGGAAATATATAATCGCGCCCCTTGCACACTTGCACTATAGCATCACAGTGAACAAGTGTGCAGTGAAAGTAAATGCAAAGCTGCAACCATGGACGTCGGAACTATTTTCTGAGAGGGGGGGCGGGTTTTTGTTGGGAGAGTCGAGGGAGAGACTCATACTTGGATTACACTGGATAATAACATACCATCTTAATTGTTAAGAAAAACAAAATAAACAATATATATCAAGGAAGTCACTTATCAAACTGAACTTTTTTTTTTTCAATACGCATTCATGCGTCAGTCTCTCCGGTGGCTTCATTGTGTTGTGTAGCCCAGTGACGTGCGGTCAGATGAGGCAGGCAAGGCCCTCACCTAAGATCATAGAAAGAAAAGTAATAAAATGGATACAATGACGTTTGGTCACTTTATCAAGTGATTTGTGCTGTGCCTTATTTCATTTATTTATACCTTGAAATCGCAGATTTGACAGAGCGGTGCTGTGAGGCGAGCCTCTCTTGGGAGACGTAAAAAGCAACAGCTCACAGGGAGAGTCCTGTGAGGTGCTATCAAACTGTTTTCTCTGTTTATCACAGTTTAAAAAGTTCAAAAATATTTAATTTACAATCAACATGTTTACATTTAAGAGGATGGCTCATAAATTGTGTTTTTGAAGCAAATATGGGTCTTAATCGCGCTCAACCACAGCTTGTAAGTGAGGAAAGCCTCAAGGGGGCGCTTTTGAGCCCAAACTTTGGCTGCATCCAATTCCATCAGAAAGCTCCTTTCTTGTTCTTCTTCTGCTAAGGGCAGCTACAGGTTTGGCTAACATACCTATAATACATTTTAAGATAATTTAAAATGCACTTAGAGTAATGTTTTGCTTCCAATGATGATATGAATCATAAGAAAAGGAGGTGAAGGGTAAGGTTGAATTTAGAAATTGGATTTACCCGGGAGTCGGCTGCAGCAAAACTCGGAGTTTACGGAGGAGACACCCGTTTTTTTTACTTTTTAAAACTCATTGAACTTATTTCCAAATGGAGGATTACATGTCTGTGCTCAAACTATTATCTGGACTTAAACATGAAACTGGTCCTAACTGAAGTGGTCTGTGCTGTTCATTAATACCTAAGGTAAGGCCCATAACACACTTTGTACTATTTACAAACGTTTGCGTTTTGTATGAGAAAACAATGCAGACATTAAATCATATTCTGCTGTAGCCAAACAAATTGTGTATAAGCCGCTCCTGTTCCTGTAGGTCCTGTTGGTTTATATGATGTATAATCATATGAACACATGATTGATCCCCCACCGCACGTCACTGGTGTAGCCAGGTCTCTAATCTGCGCAAGGCTGAGAAAGAGCGCTCAGAGGCTGCGACAGATATTAGCCAGACAGAGCTTCATAAGCTTCTCCGACAGCATGGAGCGGGTTTTGGGCTGCAAGGAACGCAGGATAGTGATAACTTCTCGCTCCCGGCACACGCGGAGGGGGTGCGGCCGCACCCCCCGCACCCCTAGTTCCGACGTCTATGGCTGCAACCAGATTTTTTAAAATTAAGTTTAAAAAGTGCATTTTGGAGGTTCATCCCGCAGCTTCCCTTTCCACTTTTACCGTAAGTAACAGCCAAAAGAGGCCACCCACTTTTAATATGCCGACCACTATTACCGTAAATAAGCTGGTCCTCTTTACCGCAGTGAAGGAAGGGAGGGGGCGTAACTTCGTAACTTTACAAACATATTATTTTGTTTTAGATAGGCTTTGCTTTGCATTCAAATTAGCGTGGGATTATTATTATGTAATGATACTACCAACTAGTTAAAGTTACTTTTTAATTTCTTTCCCACTTCTGACACTGGCGTGGCGCCCCCTGGTGGCCCGTAACATTTGCCTTTACGGCCCATGCCTCAGGCCGGCCCAGTGTGTGTGTGTGTGTGTCTGATGACATCTTCAAAAGACCAACCCGCCTCACAGCTGTTTGTGGAGCCTGAGTACAGAGCTTGCAATGGAGCCGCTTCTCCTCCAGTGAAGTCCATCTTGGCATTGGGAGCCGGTCTCTGCCCCCTCTGCCTCCATCTCACACCGACGTCATGGACTTTTGTTGTTGCTGTTTTGCATTATACATTATATATGTTTATCCATATATGTCTAATAAAGCTGCAGTTCGTAACTTTCAGTTTGAACAGAAAGAGTCTTTAAGTAAAATGAAAATAAATCATACACAATGCTGTCTTCATCTTCTGTGTCAGAGAGATCCATGTGGGTCACTATCTGCCTCTTTGGGCAGATAGTGAAACCAGAGAGAGAGACTAAAGAGAGAGACCAGAGAGGGACTAAAGGGAGAGCAGAGAGAGAGAGAGACCAGGGAGAGAAACCAGAGAGAGAGAGACCAGAGAGGGACTAAAGGGAGAGCAGAGAGAGAGAAACCAGAGACAGAGTATAGAGACTGGTTCTGTACGTTACACTAAAGTTAAACAGACGCAGAAACAACATCATTAAAAAGTCAGAAATGATAAATTTTAAGAATTTTAATAATCTTTGTGCTGTATGTATATTTCACTAAATGCAAATATAAGAACAAGACTTAAACATATAAAAACAAACAGTATAAGATAAGATACAGTTAAACAATAGAAAATAATGACATGAATATGGGACGCACAGAAACCCACGTTAAACACCGTCCTCTCACTTTCAGAGGTCAAAGGGACTACTACAGGAAAACAAAACACACAATGTTCCATTTACACATGTTTCAAAAGATCATGTCTCATTTCGGTCACTGCTCCATTCAAACCTACAGAGGTTTGTACACCATACAGAGAGAGACCAGAGGCAGACCAGAGAGAGACCAGAGGCAGACCAGAGAGAGACCAGAGGGAGACCAGAGAGAGACCAGAGGGAGACCAGAGGCAGACCAGAGAGAGACCAGAGGCAGACCAGAAAGAGACCAGAGGGAGACCAGAGGGAGACCAGTGAGAGACCAGAGGGAGACCAGAGAAAGACCAGAAGGAGACCAGAGGGAGACCAGAGAAAGACCAGAAGGAGACCAGAGGGAGACCAGAGAAAGACCAGAAGACACATTTCCTACAGGTCAATAAAGTAAAACTCATCTCAAACTAAATCCCTTTTTCTTTGGCAGTGAAGCGTCAGACTCAGTGAGACCTGACTTCAGTCGCTTCACTCCACGTTGAGGCCGAGCATGTTGGTCAGACCCACTGACAGCTTCTTGTCTTCATCGCTTCTGTCGCTGATGAGGCCCAGGATGGAGCCACCGAGCCCACCCTCCGCAGCTGCGCCTGCCCCGCCCTCTGCAGCTACGCCTACTCCGCCCAGGTTTAGCTCCAGGTTGGAGTCGGTGGGAGACGTGCATGTGGACGAGGACTTCTCCCGCGACAGCTTCAGGCGCTCAGAGATGTCCACTCTCTCCCCCGTCGGCGCTGCTGCATTTACAAACGGCAGGCGGATCCCTTTGCTCACCACGTAATCCTTGTTCTCCAGGTCGCGGCTGACTAAGCTGATGCTGTCTAAGACCCCGAAGTTGTCACGCTTGTTCTCAGGGAGTCTGTGGAATACAAACGCCGGGACCTGCACCTCTGTGTCACCCAGATCCCGGTCCGACTCAGCACCGCTGCTCTCCTCGTCTCTGGTCTTCGAGCGCCAATTGAACAGACGCTTCAGCTTGGAGCCTTTAGCCTCAGCATCCACGCCCCCCGCCGCACCCAGCTCCAGTGAAGGGCTATCTACGCTAGCGCTAACATCCGGCGTCGTCAGATTTGGAGTTTCAATTTCACCATCGATTTTGGGTAATTCTGCCTCGAGCTCGGTGCTTTTGGTTCTGCCTAAGTTCATCTTGGGCCACTTGAAATTCAGCTTTGGCTTCTCAACGCTGGCATCAACACTGGAAACACTCGCATCGATCTCTGGAGCTCTCACATCCATCCTGGGCGCAGAGAGGCTAGCATCGGCGCTGGGAGGTTCCAGGTCAGGACCGGACAGATTGAGAGAAGGCATTTTGAAGTGAGGTAACTTAGATCCTCCAATGTTTGCATCAAGTGTCGGCGAGGACAGATCTGCTGACGGGAGATTGGCGTTTAAGTTTGGAGCGGATAAATCTGCATTGATTTTGGGCGCGCCCAGATTGAGGTTTGGAAGTTTAAGGCCGGAAGAGGAGGGTCCGTTAACGTCTACTCTGGGTAAACTCAAATCAGCCTCAGGCAAACTAAAATTCGGCAAACTGGCATCAACTTTTGGCGCCGAAAGTCCAGCATCCAAACTGGGAGCGGACATGTCTGGTAGGTTGATGTCGGCGGCTGGTTTTGGGAGACTGAAGGACGGGAGTTTAATGCCCCCTGCTGGAGGCTTTAGGTTGACGTCTGCCGCTAAGTCTGGGGTTTCCAGATCCACTTTTGGAGCTGATAATTTACCATCGATCTCTGGTGCTCCGAGTTTCAGATCCGGGGTTTTCAGATCTGCGTCTATAGACTTTTTGGGCCATTTGAGGTTGGGCAGTTTGAATCTGGGCGTGTCTACGTCTGCGTCAACTTTGGGCAAATTCACATCAAGATCTGTGTCTAACTTTGGTGTTTTCAGATCCACGTCTGGAGGCGCCACGTCCAAATCCGTGTCAATTGACTTTTTTGGCCATTTTATCTTCGGTAATCTGAATTTCCCAGAAGGAGCGTCAAAATCTGCATCTGGGAGCTCCACTTTAGCCCCATCTAAATCACCGCTGAGTTTAGGGGCCTCCAGATTCAGGTCGGAGGATTTCAGGCTCAAATCTGGAGCTTCTGCGTCCAGACTCGGCGTTTTGACTTTGGGCCAGTTGATTGTAGGGAAGTTGATTTTGCTGCCCATGTTGGCGTCGGCATTGAGGCTCGGTGCGTCCAGGTTGCCGTCTGGTAAATTGACACTCATGTTGGGAGCGTTTACGTCTGCGTCTATGTTGGGCCCTTTCAGGTCCAAGTCGGTGTCTGCTTTGACGCGTGGCCCGTTCAGCCCGAACAGCTTGAATTTTGGTTTCTTCACTTCCGGTAGCTCCGCGTTAAGATGTGGAGCGTCTATTGTTGCATCTATTTTGGGAGCGTTCAGATCTGGAGCTTCTATCTCTGCATCCAGATCTTTTGTTTTAATCTTGGGCAGTTTTAGATTTGGCAATTTAAAATTTCCTCTTGGCGCATCTATATCTACAGCCGGTGCTTTCAAGTCTGCATTTACATCTGGCGCCTCGATCTTAACATCTCCGTCGATGTTTGGTAAATTCAGATCGGGAGAATTTATCTGTGTGTCCACGTCCTTCTTCTTCCAAGTCCCAAACTTCCACCATTTTGGCTTCAGGTCAGGGCCGTTCAAGTCCACGTTGGGACCCTGGAGGCTGGCGTCTGGCAGCTCTCCCCCTCCCTCTAACTTAGTCGCGTCGAACTCCAGGTTTGGAGCATTCAATGACGCATCGGGCAAATCCGCGTTCACGTTAAATTTCTTTTTTTTCAGCGTTGGAAATCTGATTTTTGGCCCGTTAAGATCGGCTTTTGGAGCATTTATTTCTGCGTCAACTTTAGGGAGAGACAGATCCGCGTCTGCGTTTAAATCAGCTTTTGGGAGTTTAGGCTTTTTCCAATTCAAATGCGGCCAGTTAATGTCTCCTTTCACGTTAGCGTCTGGGAGATCCACTTCTGCTTTTGGCGCGTTTATCTCTGCGTCAACTTTAGGTAGAGACAGATCCGCGTCTGCATTCAGCTCTGCCTTTGGGAGTTTAGGCTTTTTCCAATTCTGATGCGGCCAGTTAATGTCGCCCTTCACGTTAGCATCCGGAAGATTGACGTCTGCATTGGGAGCTTCTAGATTCGCATCAATTTTGGGCATATTCAAATCTGTGTCTGCGTCGAGTTTAAGCCCCTTCGGTTTCTTCCACTTCCGATGGGGCCAGTTTACCCCACCGTTCAGGTCGCCGTCGAGCGAGACTTTGGGGCTGTCTATTTCAGGCGCGTTTACGTCTATGCTCGGATCTGGCACTTTCCCCTTCACCTTCCACTTGCGGTGCGGCCAGTTGACGCCATGATCCAGGTCTGCGGGCTTCAGGTCGAGCTCGGGCGCAGATAGGTTTGGAGTGCTGAGGTCTGCGCTAAGCTTCGGAGCGCTTAGTTCAGGGGCTTTGAGGTCTGCGCTGAGACCCGGAACATCAATGTCCGGAACATCGAGGTCTACATCTGGAACTGAGCGTTTGGGAAGGTTGAAGTCCGGCATGCTGAACTTTGGGGCTTTGAAATTGAAGCCTGTGGCCGGTGTATCTGGGGTTTGGAGATTCAGTGAGGTCTTTGGAGCGCTCAGGTCTCCGTTTATCTCAGGACCCGACAAACTCAGACCAGAATTTGGGGTCTTCAGGTTTGGACCGGACAGACTCAGACCAGAATCTGGAGTCTTCAAGTTTGGACCGGACAGACCCAGACTTGGGACCCCTCCGTTGAGTTTGGGTAGTCCTGCACTCAGGTCTCCGTTCAGGTCCAGACCATTCACTGACATCGAGGGGGACTTCTATGGAAAACAGAGACATCAAAGTTTTGGATTATTGGATTACAGAGATGGACCAGAGAGAGACCAGAGAGAGACCAGAGAGAGACCAGAGAGAGACCAGAGAGAGACCAGAGAGAGACCAGAGAGAGAGACCAGAGAGAGAGACCAGGGAGAGAGACCAGAGAGAGAGACCAGAGAGAGAGACCAGGGAGAGAGACCAGAGAGAGACCAGAGAGAGAGACCAGAGAGAGAGACCAGAGAGAGATTAGAGAGAGACCATAGACCCGAGAGACTGAATAGAAAGAGCAGAGAGAGAGAGAGAGAGACCAGAGAGACAAAATATTGCTTCTGACTTTAGTAAAAGTGTCAGTGTTACACTGATGTTGTTGGAGTAAACACACAATAAAAGGCACATTTTCACAAACACAAAACCATCAGTGACGCCGCAGAAGCTGCAGCTTTAAGGGACAGTGTTTCTTTAACCTGCACTGAGGCAAAGGAACCATCAATACATCCCAGGAACGTCAGCTCCTCACCCCCTCCCTCCTGTCCCTCACCCCTTCCTCACCCCATCCAGGCTAATGTTGGCGCTGCCCCCGAGCTCCTTTTTGGTGAGGACTCTTATGTTGTTGTCGTAGGGCTCCATAGCCTTCAGGATGGACAGAACCTGCTCCTTGTTCAGATGGTCCAGGTGGATGGTGGCCGCCACAATCTCATCTCCTGAGGACCAGAAGGAACAGACTCAACCAACATCACCAGCAACAAGAGAGAGACCAGAGTGAGACCCAGAGGCAAGACCTGGACCCAACTGTCCTAACCAGGCCCTGCTATAGCAGCAGTAGTCCCAGCAGCAGTACCTGCTTGTAGGCCTGTGTTCTGGGCCACTCTGTCGTCCTTGATGTCGGTGATGACCACTCCTCGAGTCGAGTCGTCCAGAACCAGCGACTCTGAGAACCTGGGATTCAGCTCCACACTCTGCAACACAAGGGTATACGCATCAGTACACACACATACACAGCGACACACAAACACACACGCGCACGCACACACACACACACACACACACACACACACACACACACACACACACACACACACACACACACACACACACACACACACACACACACACACACACACACACACACACACACACACACACACACACACACACACACACAAAGACTCACCATTGTTGAGGTCTTTTACATCCACATCACAGAAGGAGAGTTCTAAAACAGAAATTAACTAGTAATTAATCTTTATTTATATAACGCTTTTCACAGACCAGAATCACAAAACGCTTTAATTGTGGTCATTTGTTTCTGACTCCACACAGAGATGGAGCAGGGCGCCTACAGGAGGCACAGATCTATTGTACGTGTATTTTTATTCACATTTTATCATGTACAGCTTTTATAAACATTGTTACAAAATGTATCTTGCATGGCATTTCTTTACAGAAAAATAAAATAAAACAATGAAGTGGCAAGATCTAGAATAAAGAAGATGTTTATCAAACTTTTAGTCTAGTATATGATTAAGCTAACGTAAAAGAACAAAACAAAACAGTTTCTCCTTGTGATATTGTATCTGGTAACATGAATGCTTTCTGTAGGGGATTAAAAGTCAATAAGGTCATCAGAAGAGTCCAAATCTTTTATGAAATCAATAAATGGCCTCCAAATCTTTTCAAATATGTGTTGTTTGGCTTTTCGTATGTATGTTATTCTTTCCAATGGAAGGCAGGAGAGCATTTGTTTTAGCCACTGGGAGGCGCTTGGTCCATTAACACTTTTCCAGGTCAGAGCAATACATCTCTTGGCCATTAATGAGCTTATATCAATAAGAATTAAGTCAGTTTTGCTGAAGTTGTGTTTCTCTGGGTATAGAGCCAGTATAAACAATGAGGGTTCCAAGGTAATCTTTTTTGATATTATTTTCTCTATTTGATCTTTTACTTCTAACCAAAATTTTTTGATCTGCCTGCATTCCCACATACAATGTAATAACGTTCCTTTTAAGCCACACTTTACACAGATATCTGGAATGTTCTTATTGTATTTATTCAATTTAACAGGTGTTGTGTACACACGATGTATCCATTTAAATTGTAATATTCTTAGTCGGCTATTAATAGATATTTCTTGAGATTTTTTGCAAACTTTTCCCCATTCTTGCTCACTGATTTTAGTATTTAAATCATCGTTCCAGGATAATAATTTTCTATTTGAATTTTCATTTGAATTTGTTTGTAGTAGGATGTAGAATTCTGAGATTATACCTTTTCTTAATTTATTCTTTAATAGTATATTTTCTAGCTGTGTTAGTGGGATCTTTTGTAGGTTGCTTTGATACCCATTTACAAAACTTCTCAGTTGCAGGTATTTAAAGTAATGTTTTTTGTCAAGATTGAACTTAACCTTGAGTTCTCCAAAAGTCATGAAGTTATCAGACCGTGGAGGGTAGAGATCCCCAACCGTCCCTAGTCCCTTAGATGCCCATATTTTGAAAGTGGCATCTGCTCTTCCAGGAGTAAACAGCTGGTTACCCCATATCGGACTTAATTGCGATAATGTTTGTGTATCTTTGAGATGTTTTCTGACATCATGCCAGACCTGCACCATTTGTTTCAGAAGAGGATTTGTTATTTGTTTTAATAATTGTTTTTTTGTGTCCGAATAAAAAAATGTGTGCAAGGGTAATTTTAAATGTTGACCTTCCATTTCTACCCAGTGTGGGTTATTGTTGTCGTTATTGAAGTAGAAGGCCATGGAGCGCAGTTGTGCAGCCCAATAATACCACAGGAAATTGGGACATTTCAACCCTCCACCATCGAATGGCATGTACAAAAGAGAGAGACGAATTTTTGATTTTCCATTGTTCCATACCAAACTTAAAATTGTTCTTTTTATCCAGGCAAACAAGTCAGAAGGAGGGGGTAAAGCAATATTTTGAAATAAGTACAAACATTTTGGCAATATAATCATTTTTAAGGTATTTATTCTTCCCATAATAGACAGAGGCAATGACTTCCATCGGTCTACAGATGTTTTAATTTCTTCTTTAAGCCTGTCATAATTTGCGCTAACCATTTTTTCTGTGCTTGGTAAGATTAGAATTCCCAAATATTCAAATTGTTCTACTATTTTGAATTTATAAGTAAGAATTTGGGCATTGGGGTGCTTTCTTTCCATTGTATTTAATAATAACATTGAAGATTTTGTTTCATTCACTTTATATCCTGAGATATCCCCAAATAATTGTATTACTTCCAAAACTGCCGGGATTGAGGACGTAAGTTTTGATAAAAATAATATGACGTCATCAGCAAATAATGCGATCTTATGTTCGTGCTGACCTACTTTTATTCCTGATATTTGTGAGTGAGAACGTATCGCTGATGCAAAAGGCTCTATTGCTAAGGAGAAAAGCAAGGGAGACAGAGGGCAGCCCTGACGACAGCCTCTTTTTATTTGAAATGGTTTTGAAAAATGTCTGTTGGTTAAAATTTCTGCAGTTGGATTTTTGTAAAGTATTTTTATCCATTTAGTAAAATTGCTTCCCAGGCCAAATCTATCTAAAATGTTAAAAAGATAGGGCCATTCTACCCTATCGAAGGCCTTTTCTGCGTCGAGAGAAAGAAGTGCACAGTCCTTTTCCTCTTTTTTGTAATGAAGAACATTTATAACCCTTCTCACATTGTGAAAACCTTGTCTTCCACGTATGAACCCATTTTGATCAGTATTTATAACATTAGGAAGGACATTCTGAAGTCGCCTTGCCAATATTTTACAAATTATTTTGAGGTCAGAGTTCAAAAGACTGATGGGTCTCAGGTTTTCACATTTTGTCGGAGGTTTACCGGGTTTTGGCAGTAGAACTATTAATGCTTCATTTAAGGACAGTGGGAGGCAATTTCTTTCAAATGTTTCTGTTATCATATCTAGCAGTGGTGTTAGCAGTTTATCTTTAAATTTTTTGTAGATATCAATAGGGATGCCATCTGGGCCCGCCCGTTTGCCTAATTTCATTGCGTCGATGGCACTTGAAATATCTTCTTTTGTCATCTCTAATTCTAGTTCATTTTTTTGCTCTTCTGAGATAGTTGGAATATTTAATCTATCCAAGACTGCATTCATAATCTGAATGTCACAGATTGTTTCTGTATTGTACAAATTTTGATAGTATTCTTTAAATGTATTATTAATCTCTTTTGGGCTGACTATTGTTTGACCCTTATTTTCTAAAGTGGTAATTGTTGTTTTAGATTCAAGTTGCTTTATTTGCCACGATAATAGCTTTCCAGCTCTGTCTCCTTGTTCGTAGAATGACTGCTTTAACCGTAAGAGACTGGATGCAGCTTTAAAGCTTGATTGTTTTTCATATTCTGCTCTCAGAAGTAGAAGTTCTTTTGCCGCCACAGGATCATTGTTCTGAAATACTTTCTCTTGGGCTTTATTGATATTACTTTCCAGGCGTTTTAGCTCTTGTTTAGCTTTTTTAGCTTTTCGACCAGTATAACTAATAATGTGTCCTCTGAGGAATGCCTTAAAAGCGTCCCATCTGATTCCTGCCGATGTTTGATTTTTGTTAATTAAAAAATACTCATCAATTTGACTTCCTATAAATTTTACGAATTCTTCATCTTGTAACCATTTGTGCTGAAACCTCCATCTCGGTGGATCACAAGTGATATCATCATCTCGGTAAACTAGTTTACAAGGTGCATGATCTGATATAGCAATATTATCATATGAACTACTTTTAATTTTTGGTATCAAATCTGCTGATATTAAAAAATAATCTATACGTGAGTATGTTTGGAATGTTGCAGAGTAACATGAGTATGATTTGCTTTGTGGATTTAGTGTTCTCCAAATATCTGTTAATTTTAGGTCATTCATGAATCGTTTTATAGTTGATCTACAGTTATTATGCGTCTGGTCTACTCCCGTTGAACGGTCCCACCTTGGTTCTAACGTGCAATTGTAGTCTCCTGCTATTATATGATGTCCCGACAGAGTTGAAAGCAGAAGAAACAAGTCTTCATAGAAAGAAAAGTCATCGATATTGGGACCATACACATTGACTAAATTTATGTTTTCTGTTAATAGTGAACCTTGAATAATTAAATATCTACCCCTCTTATCTTTGATAATATTGTTTACCTGGAATGGAACAGTTTCATGAATAAGTATCATTACTCCTCTTGCACGAGAGGAAAATGCAGATGTATATATATTACCCCGCCACCTTCTTCTGATCCTTTTTTCATCATCCTCCATCAAATGAGTCTCTTGTAAAAATATTACATTGGAATCCATATTTTTTAGTTTGCTCATGACCTGTTTAACCTTTTTATAACGTTGGAGCCCCCTGCAATTCCAAGTTACAAAATTGAGATTTACTCCTTGTGCCATGTTAATACTTTAAAGTTTGTTGTAAAGCAAAAGTATTAATGCAACCTTCCTGTTAACAGTTGTTACAGAGTTACCAGTAGACATAAGTAAGATTTTGAGAGAAGCATAACATCGAACATAACAAACCTGTGTATAACACCCCAAAACAGAACTACACTCCAACCCCCCCGCCCGTGGGCCCCCCTCCCTCCTTGATGCATCTTCAGTCATCGCATGCAACCGATCCACACTGTGTGAGGAGCAGTCTAACCTTTAGTCTCAAAAACAAATGCAAACCGCTGCTATACGTGCTTTTGTTCACATTAGTATATCCTAGCTGCTGTCCTTTGGTTGTATTAAATGTATAGTAGTGATTAAGTAGACATATAACATTAACAAAAATAAATAATAATGAAACACTACTTACAAACATAACAAATAATGGCATGGATTACAACCTTACGGATCTTCCACATTCTGGGTCTTACGTATGAAATTCCAAGCCTCCGCTGGTGTTTTGAAGGCAAAAGTCTTTCCATCTTGAGTCACCAGCAGCTTTGCCGGGTGTAGTAGTCCGTGTCTTAGTCCCAGTTTGCGCAGCTCTTCGCGGATGGGATCAAACAGTTTGCGTTGCTGGTGTACCTCCGCAGCAAGATCAGGATAGAACCGTACTTGTTGCTCCTCGTAGTGAATGTTCCCTTTTGCTCTCGCCGCAGTAACTGTAGCCATCTTATCCCTATAGTTAAGGAATTTCATGATCAGAACACGGGGCGCTTCATTGTTGACCCGTC